GATAAAATTAAGCCCAAAAGTCATATAAGCCATGGATTTGTTATAAAAAATTTAGTCAAAAAAGTTATATAAACAATTTATTTTTATTTTTGTAATTTAATTATATTAAATACTTTGTTAAATAAGTACCTACGGTGTTGAATTCTTATTTAGATATAAAATTAGGGAGCTAGATGAAAATTTTGAAGTCAACGGAATTAGATTTTTAAAAGTTTTAAAAAAATATTTCTTGTATCTAGTTAGATAGTCATTTTTATTATTATTGTGATTCCTTCAAATGGCTCCCGATTCTGTCTAAGTAGTTTGGATTTCAGTACTTAAAAGATCTCGTGGGTCAGTGGTTGCAAGATAGACTGCTAAGTATGAGGTCTGGATATCGATCCTTGATCGGTTGTGTTGATATGTATCTTGTGTTACTTATTATAGCAGACGTTGAAGACTAATGAAAATTGTTATAGATAAATGTGCTCGACAGAGGAATCGATCTCTATGATCTTATGATCAACATTAATTGTGAATATAATCAATAGGAAAATTGAAACAAATTTTGAAAAAGTTAATAATTTTAATAATAATAGACAGAGTCGGGGTCTTGTGAATATTTTTAATATTGCAAATTAAATGTATAGATAATACATGCTGATATGACGAGGGCGCAAAAATACCAACAATTTTTTTTAATGACGGACAAATCCCAGTACCATCATAGGTTTAACCCCAATATCCCCAAGCGATCACCGGTGATCGCTCTCCACTGACTATATTATAGAGATGTTAAGAGACTAATTTTGTGTGAACATATTTAGGGGAATAGGGGATGATTTTCAACAGGTTAACTATATTGAAAACAAATGAAACAATAGAAATACTTAAAGGCCTATGTCGTACTTGTTCCTTCTCTAGTGTCGTTTGTCTATGGACGGCGCCGATTGGTTACCACTTACTTTTAGGTGTCATCCATACTACTAAAGAGAACCTGACGGGTTACCGGGGCTCCGGCTCGAAGTGCAGGAGTAGGAACGGGGTGGTTTTTAGTCATAAGAGTCTGACACTCCCTCCCGCCTCACACAGGCGGGAGAAATCATTCGATGATTTCCCCCCCTTAAAAATGGGTTAACCATAAATTATGTCACAAGAATCTCATTTTTTTTTTGCTTTTCCCCGTCCTTGTCACAGCTGGTCATATTTGTGAGACCCTATCCCTAGTATGACGTCATATTTGTCTCCTTCCTCAAAATGTGACGTAATTTGTGGATGACCCCTTAGGTAATCCATCTGCTCGTTTGCGCCGACCTATGTCAATAAAAGTGTACTTTAGATTTGACGCTCACCAGATGGAGCCACTGATGTTCAAAAGGACTTTGAACATTAGTTTTATTGTCCACTAGCGACCCGCCCCGGCTTCGCACGGGTGCAATATATACATACAAACCTTCCTTAAGAATCACTCTATCTATTAAAAAAAACCGCATCAAAATCCGTTGCGTAGTTTTAAAGATCTAAGCATACATACGGACATACAACGAAAGCGACTTTGTTTTATACTATGTATTGATATAATCAAAGGTCACTTTTTCTAAGACGCGCTTAAGTATGGTTCTGTCACAACAATATTTTTGTAAAATGACAGAATGCACCATATTTAAGTACAATTTAAAATTGAGTAGCCTTTTAGTATTCGAGTGTTAGACAATTGATATTGTCTCCAGACTAGAGATCATATCTAATCTCTATTAATATAAAAACTTGGCACAGTTTCTTGTACTACAATTTATCATTTTCGGAAATAAAAACTGACGGATTCAATGTCGTTTCTTCAGCATGTATTATCATATAAATAAGCACGCAATTTACTAGTTATAGTCAATAAAAACTATGATATCAGAGATCATTGCGCAAAAAGGCCAATTATCGAATACAAACCGTATGTTTAATATTTTGAAAATGGCAATATTGAAATAAAATAACATTTATCAACGAATCTAGCTTTTACAGATTTTGAATTTTTATACTACCTATACATTAAATTAAAATGTTTGTCGTTCGTTACAATTTATAGATATATAGTAGATGAATTTTGATGTGAAATTTAGTCGTTTCCCTTACTTGTAGATGGCGCTACTGTCCTAAAGGGTATAACGTTAAAATGTATCACTTTTGCACTCTATTAAGGGCGATAATGGAGCTTAAAAACTGGTTTCTTAAAAGTAATTATTGAGATCCCTAGTATATTTTTAACTTATAATTGCTTCCTCAAATTCCTAACTCCGAAAAGGCCGGCAACGCACTTGTAACGGCTCTGGTGTTGCAGGTGTCCACAGGCGGCGCAGATTGCTTACCATCAGGTGATCCGTCTGCTCATTTACCAGCTTATCCTATAAAAATACTGGTGAAAAATTGGTGTAACATAATATATGGGCACCTATGCATAATTCTTTGAATAGTTAAAGGTTATGAGTTATGACAGTAGCGCATCTTAATTGAAGTTTTTCCTTCTTCCATCTGTATATCTTGCCCTTTCATTGTTATTCGCAACATTTTATGTACATACATAGCCAGATTTATCAATTTAGGTATACAAAATAAACAAAAAGGTTTATCTACTTGTAAATTTTTTTATGTAAATATGTTCTAGATGTAAGACAAATTCCAATCTTTATTGTAATTTTATTATGTATGGTTAATAGTTGTTAACTCCTGAGAAATTGCCGTTCAATGTTTTTTATCTTAGTTTAAAATTATTTCAACTCTTTTTTTTAAATATAGGCCAAGAGCGATGTAAACTTTTTACTAAAGACGTTGCCGTGGACGCTAAAATTTTCTCCTGTGTTGTGGGTGCGTTTCCTAATGTACAATTTCATATGATGCTCAGACCGGGATTAACACAAATACTTTTTCGATGCGGGAATCGAACCCGCTACACGTTACGCGACAACCAATTGGCCAGCTATTGCGCCGCGTCAATCGTGTAATCAAAATTGATGTATGTAAACAAAAATTAAATGTAGACCTATGTCTGTATAGCTCCATGGCATGCGGCCACATTCCCCGCCGTCCCTCCCCTTCTCTATATGAACTGACACTTCTGAGTGATGACAAAACTATAGAAGCATAGAAAAGTACTATTGGGTGTACACAGATGTAGTCTTACCTTTGTGGTTTATCTACCAGATGTGTTTGCAAATTACGAAACAAATTGTTTGTTTTTTTTCTTTAAAAATATACATTGAACGGTGTGGTGTTGCCAGATCTTCTGGTATTTTTTGTTATAATTCAATACCGGTGTTCTTTTTAGACAATAATTGTTTTTATTGGTGCTTATAGAAATTCTTTGTTTAACTGTCTAAGTTATCTCATTGAAATGTTTTTTTTTTTTAAGTCTGGCAACATTACTACAGAGCGTGTTTTGTTGGAGTTACAACGTTGCTGTAGTTTGTTACAAGTGTTTTTTCCTAAAAGTATTTTAAGAATAAATGATTTTTAAGTGTCAAGTCTGTTTGTTGTTTTATTTTGTTTTTTTTTTCTAGTTTTTTTTCCAACTGGGTAAGAGTCCTTTGAGCCACGTAACCAGGGCCGTTGTCTCTAAGAGGATGGCAGAGATCATCGACATTATACTAATGAACATGCCGTACGCGTATAATCTGCAGTATTTTTTTGGTTTGAAGAGCGAGAGAGATGGCCTACGCTTTCGGTCTAGCGCTATCTCTTACTCGCTCATAACGTCTTAACTACGGTACTATTTTGAGAGAGATAAAGATTGACCGAAACTTCGTTATGTCTCTTTCTTTCGGAGTGCCACAAACATATTAGTATATGTCGATGGCAGAGAAAGACTCTGGGAGTCAAACCAGAGACTTCATTCATGAGGATGTATTTATCAAATATGGGAATATTTTGTTTTTTTAAATTATAAATAAAAAAACACTTCAAAATTCATAAAAAACATTCATTTTTATTAACAGTGTAAAACAATTATATACAGCTTTCTAGATTACATTTGTTCAATTTACAGACACAGAAAATGAATAAGTTAATTAAACTGTCAAACACCAAGCGCTCACCGGTGACCGCAACCTATTGTTCTTTAATTGTGTCTATAAATACGGTACTCGACAAGTTAATGGACTGAAGTCAAACTTCATATTGCAATAAAAATGGCATTAAATATTAACAATAAGATTTTATATCAACATTTCTTTTTAGATTATTTCGTATAAGTTATAACTTTATTTCACAGTACAACGGAACCAAAATAATGGATATGTTTTTAAAAATACATTACCTAATTATAGACTTAAATAATGAGTGGGGTATTTTATTTAATTAAAAAAAATATAATTACTTATAAATTGCATGTTTCTGGGAGTTCACAAAAACATGCTATATGGTGCGACCAGCAGCTGTAGCTAAATGCCACTTAGCGCTTGTAGTATAGAAAACCAAGTTATATAGAATTGACGTAAATTTTGACACTTGTCTGTGTCATCCCCATACATTTAGTTTTCTACACTCTCTCTGTAGACAAGCGCTTAAGTGGCGTTTGGCTAAAGGCACTGATGTGGTCTTATGCCCGCTGCACACCTATAATGGATAGAAACACTGTACGGTTAAACATAGTTTCTATTGAAGCTACAGTTTTGACTGAATGGAAACAAGACGCATTTTAAGAATGCATAATGTATGAGATGCTAATTATTTTATTTTTTGTTGTTGTTTCTTATGTTTGTTCTAGTTGTGTATTCACTTTAAATAGATTTCTGTTTATGGGAAATTTGTATTTGTGTTTAATAATTTAAACTTAGGCTAATACCTAACTATTCTCTCGAGCATGATGTGTTAGCCTTTAGAATTGATTGTTACACTAGCAAATGCATATTGTATCTAAACCGATTTGTTGTAATATGATGTGTAAACAGTCGTTGGTTGACCTTAATAATTAAATAAGAAAAAAAACACATAGAACTCCATAGTAAAATCGTAAGGTCTGTAGGCTGTATGATGCTACAATTAAACTATGCAGTTTCATTTGCACAATAGGTCTTATCTTTGTAGTGTAATTATAAACATTTTACATCATTCTCCAACTAAGCCAAGTATTATCAAAATTAATATAAAATACCCAACTCAAATCACCTACATAATAATTATAATCAATATTAATTTTAAATATAGTATTCATACTGACTAGACCAATTTATTTGTTTTCTAGAGACGGTGACACATTTCTCCCGAGTACATTCTCTTTGTATCTTAGTTTCTGAACATTGGTAGGGTCGCTTAGCACCTCTTCATCTATTAGCCGTTCTACTCTTTGGTCTTGTACTGGTTCTGAAATGAAATAACGAGAGGTAAACTCTTTAGATTGATTATAAGAAGAAAAGTGTAACATTGTATATGTGTTCTGCACTCCTCAAGAATTAAAGTGTGATGTAAAGTTTGACTTGGCAACTGTCAAACACCGAGCGATCACCGGTGACCGCAACCTATTGTTCTTTAATTGTGTCTATAATGATGGTACTCAACAAGTTAAAATCAATACTTTTTTTCGTAATTAATATGTGTGTTTACAGTTTTATGGATTATCGAAAAGTAAGTTCGACTGAACGGTGGTGCGGTTGCTGGGCAAGTGACGGCCGCACAACATGTCGCAAGTTTGCGACAACTATTTGTGTGATCCACAGATTGTTGTTCTGGGTACCATAATGTATGTGAACTTGTATGTTTGTAAAAGCACACAGGAGAAAATCCTAGTGTGGGGTAATGTTAAAAAAATGATATATTGTTATTACTCACTGTTATAAGGTGTGTATCTGTCTGATAATAAACTTTCCAAGTTGTATCCTATGACACCGACCACAGCCGCTACTGGTAATGTGAAGTATGGAGCGTTTGTTCTAAGGAACTGCATTATTATTGGCCACATCTGAAAGTAAGACATTATTTTTTATGGTGCTATTGTATAGTGGGCAGTGGATCAACCCACCCTTTTCTGTCAAATTCCTTTAGCCTCTTTTCTGTTGAAAGTTGCGGCCATAATGTGTTTATACCAGGGGGAGCAGGTGTTTCAACAGACAAGAGGTTATTAGATTTTCAACTGTATCTTTTAGAGGTAAAGTCGAAAAAAGAATGACTAAAATTGACACATTAGAGAGGGTAGATGTGCTGATCATAAAATGAAATAATATTATTTACTTCTGCATATAAAATCTTCTGCAAATTGTGTATTTGTGTAGGTACCCACACAAAAAGACAATTTATAAATAAAGCTAGATGATTGCGTTTTCTACCCAACTACTACTTGTAGAAGAAACAAAAATAAACCCAAGTTTATAAATTATTATTTACATATTATTATTCATTAATAAGGCACTTTTGAAAGTAAATAAACAGGATAATTCAAGATGTGTTATGTTTGTCCACTAGAGAAGCTATATATTTACTCATAAATCTAAATTTCTATGGAGAAATAACAGCAAGAGACTCCATGGGGTACTTTTTATTAAACAGTTTTATGATTCTGCCCTCATCATCAATATTAGCAGGGATATGTTATTGCAGAAATAAATACTCTTAGGATGAAGTTTGTCACTTGGTACAGGGACTTGAGATCACATTTATGTTAATAAAAGTTTAGCTGGTTGCGGTTTAAGGTATTTTTAACGTATTTTTAAAATATAATAATTTTTAAGGTTATATAAGTGGCCGATAAGCCGTTTGCCCAGTATTTCGAAAATAAGAAGCTAATAACTTACTTTTGAAGCGAGTGATAAGGTCTGATTTATATAGATGTTAATAATTTTACTACTTTTATTATTAACAGGTATTTTTCAACAACTAATTCGCCGATTTTATAACACAACAGCTGACTTTCCAACTTGAATTTGACAGAAGATAGGACAGATAAATAAAGAACGTTTGACATAATGTGTGCAGTTCAGAAATCGTTTTTTATGGCGGAGAGCGAGTCCGAGTCCGAGGGCCAATTTCAGCTAGACCGGAGTTTAGATTAGAGACCTATTTTATTAGAATGATGGATGGCACACTATTTACTATCAACTTTGAACTCTACGCTTCGCGTTGGTTGTGTAAAACCAACTGAATAAAGTCGGTTTATTCGGTTTTGATTCTAATGTAACTTTACTTCACTGTACTTTTCACCATGATTGCATTGATGTTATGAGTGGGTGATTCTTATTTTATAATACGAGTTGCACGACTATGATATAACATCCTTCATATTGATAAGGGTCATATGCCAGAGTTTAAATCCGTGAATTTTATATTTTTGTTAAAAAAAAACCTAATCTACTGTGATCTGTGGATCACACAAAGGGTTGCTCCTTGCGGGAATCGAAACCGCGACCCGTTGCGCGTAACCACTGCCACCGCACCAACCGAGCAGTCAAGTATTATTCACTGTGTTCAGCTACTCTTTACTTGTTTAGTTAAAATTGAGGTATTCAAAATTTGTAATCAAGACAGGCAGGTAATAGTAAATAAATGAGTAGTGAGCATTAATAAACTTCAAAATATATTTTTGAAACATAAATCATATTTTTTATGAGACAAGCCGGTAAACGAGTAGACTGATCCACTAATGGTAATCAATCGGCGTCGCCCATGGACACCTGAAACATCAACACCAGGGGCGTTAAAAGCGCGTTATCCATTTTTTGGGAATTGGGAATTTGTGGGGTTTCGGGGGTTGGGGAGACTAGGTAGAAGGGGCCTACGCAACTACGCAAGCGTAAAGCGTAGTTTCACATCAATTTTTTGTGGTATCAAAGTACCCATTCAAGTGAGTGCTCAGTGCTCACACCCAGCTCACTTCGTCGTCAGACTTCAGACCTCAGATTCCGCAGCAGAATAGAAAATTCTTTTGAACGAAAAATTTTCAACAAACGTCATGAAATCAAAGCATTTGCTTGACATTTCTTAGATTAAAAACATAACCTCTTAATATTTTATCTTATTAGAATTCGTGAAATAAATAAAATAAAATAATGCATAAAAAATAAAAGCTAAATACAAGAATTTACTAAAAATGTCACAAACTCACCTCCTCAAATGCCTATCTAGGCTCTGTGTAGCGAGAAATGAGACAAAATATTTACGTAATAATGTTCAAATATTGGTTAGAAATAGTTCTACTAAATCTGCTAAACAGAAGACAGCATCTTCTGTGTACCGTACTATGAATATATTTGATCGAAAAGCGAAGGCTTTGCAGAGGGAAAGATCTGCCAGAAGGGAGGACTATCACCTAGCCGAGTATATTAAGGAAGAGATAGGTTGGAGGACCGCTGATCGTATTTTGGACATAAAACGAGTGTTTAAAAATGCTGTGGAACTTGGTTAGTGGTTCTTATATAATATTTCAGCATTTAGTTATGTTATAGCAATAGTAAACAATGTTTTTCTTGGGTATTCTGTCATGAAATTAAATTTAGTTTTTAATCTTAGCATGTTGTAGCATGATAATACTAAAGTTAATTAGATTGGTATTTCCTTATTAAAACATCTCTCTGCCTCTGCCTCGTTGGCCGAGTGGACACAAGTGCGATTGCCGGGCAAGAGGTCTCGGGTTCGATTCACGGGTTGGGTAAAGTATTACTGGGTTTTTAAATCTCAGTAGTAACACGGAGTCTGGAAATGTGCCCGGTATATGGCAATAGGCTCACCCCCTATTACATGGTGCTCATAACATATAGTAGTGAAAAGTGGGTGTTACATTGTACAGTGGCATTAAGTGCCGTAATGTGCACCCCTGCCTACGCCTTCGGAGATGAAAGTCGTGATCTTATGTTACGTTATGAAACATCTCTCCTGTATTCTTAATCCACAGGAAATGTACTATAATATCAATCATCCACTATATTTTCAAGGTTTTCAGTTGAAAACTGATATACCATTTTAATACCTACATGCCAGAATCCTATAGAGACATATCCCCAGTGGATATCTTCATGCTGATCAAGATTGACCATGTTACAGGAGCGAGTCGTGGTTACGTATCTCGCCACTTGCTACCGGACAGCGTAGAGAAGGTTACGTTGTGTGATACTTCGCAGACACACCTGGACAAAGCTATCATTGGAGACGGAGTCAAGTTCGAAAAGAAAGTTATGGACGAAGAGAATATTGATGTGAGTTTATTTGTGTGAACTATTTATTGTGAGATAACGTAGTAAATAATACAGCAGCAGTAAATAATTGCCTACAGCATTAACCCTTTGAGTGCGGTCATTATAGACACAATTAAAGAACAATAGGTGTGCGGACACCGGTGTTCTCGCGGTGTTTGACAGTTTAAGTCTACCTTATGTATGTACACTTTGTGCATGAAGCTTAAATAAACAAATAAATAAGTACAGGAAAAAGTTTTTGTGATAATGATGAATACAGCAAACATAGCATCCACTACTTATCAGCTATGAATCCCAATGATAGACCCATAGTGGGGAGGCCGAATATCAGGCAGATCTTTAGACACGGTATCAAACAATTGAAATAATGTTTTTATTTAATTATTAATATACTTTCTTAACCGAACACGATGAACAAATCACTTTAAACTATCAAACACCGCGAGGATACCGGTGACCGCAACCTATTGTTCTTTAATTGTGTCTATAATGACGGTACTAAAAGGGTTCAAAACCCCTCTAGTCCAATAACACTTGCAAAAAAGACATGACATTCAAACCTTCAAGTAAAGAGTGTACTGTGTACTAAAATCAATTTTAACAGGCTGAATCAAAGTTGTTCATTCGGGTGTCAATACGCATGGGTAGTGCTGAATGATTACCATTATGCTTGTTTGCCTTTGATCCCATGTGAAACAGTTACTGTACATCGCAACCGTAGTTAACTTTTGTTGAGCTACAAAACGTAATACGGTAACATTAGGTTATCTAACTTAATAAAAGGTATGTGTAATTTATGTGGCTAGCAAATAGTAACATATCTTGGTTTTATTAATTTTTAATTACTGTGTTATTATTCTATTGTCACTGTGTTGTTATACTCTGTTGTTTCTTTGTGGTTTTTTTTTCTATATCTATATAAATATAGGATAGGGAGGCCTTTGCCCTGCAGTGGGACGATCATAGCTGAAAAAATAAATAAATAATATAAATATGTGTATTTATTTGTTCTTTTCTTTTTAATTTTGTATTTTTTTGTATCTGTGTGCGTGCCTACTGTCGAATAAATGATTTTTCTTTCTTCTTTCTTTCTAACAAGACTATTTTCCTGATAGTTACTTGGACGTCCATACAGCCAACATCATAAATTAACAAAATATAATGAAGGATAACTTTTAATACAACTTTATTTTAAAGATTTTTGTCGCATTGTTGAGGTAATTTGTTAATTATTGCTTGACCCACACTTACTCGGCAAGATATTGATGTTGGTGGGTGGTGGATGGGTCAAGCACATCACACAGTCAGTAACATATTGACTAACGCTTGGAAACATTGACCAACTAATAGTAAATGTGGTGTGGATAAACGATTACAGATAAAACAAAATTAAAACAGTGTATTTCATGTTATTATATCTCCAGTTTCCAGAGAACAGCGTAGACCTGATCGTGTCATCTCTAGCTCTGCACTGGGTGAACGACCTGCCCGGCTGCTTTGACAAAGTCATGAAGAGTTTGAAACCTGATGGGGTGAGTATCCTTAAAATCAAGAAATAAATTGATTAACTCCAATATAGAATTTTAAGGTTTCAACAATTTTCTTTTGGCAGTTGAATGCCAAAAAAAATTGTGGGCAAATTCTTCCCCCACCATCGGTTACCTGTGGCTTCGATGATGTATAATGTGTTAACGAGGTTTTGAATTGTATGCAAATTGAAGTCATAGTCCAAATCATTTATTTCAATTATTCGTTGAAGGCATTATTGAATGTCAACAAAGAATTTAAAGTGAAGATATTTGCTCATTCCAATGTGTAGATTCTTATGGAGAAGAAGGAGCAAGAATCTCCATAGGTTTCTCTTTTTCAATCAGGATCACAATATAATTTTTAGTTACACAGTTTAGTTGGTTCAATTGTGTGAGAACAATGTAACACCAAAATCCAGTCAGAGATCTCTGAAAAGAAAATAACCTTTAGGGTTATTTAGGGACAATCAAATTTTGGTGTTGCATTGTTCTCACACAATCGAACCAACAAAACTATGTAACTAGAGAATTGTATTGTGAACATGATTGAAAAAGAGTAACCTATGGAGTTTCTTGCTCGTTCTTCTCCATAGGAATCTACACCTTTGAATGAGCAACTAGCTTCACTTCTAATTTTTTTTGTTGTTGACATTCAAAAGTGCCTTCCTGGTCTAATTGAAATAAATGATTTTGACTTAGGACTTTGAAAAAAAAAATGTAAAGGACAATATAAGTTAAAATGAAAAGTTATCATTGTTTTTTAAAGTAGTTTCTGGGTTTTAAAGGTTCTGGTAGGCACAAAAATTTCTCTGCACCGCAGTTGTTTAAATCAAAGTTTAACTTCTAAATGAACGGAGTTGAAAATTATGAACGGAATGTCAAATAAATTAGTTCAAGATTTATAATGACCAACAAAAATTACTTGGTACTACAGATATAACTAAAATAAGTACATTTTTACATAAATAATCTTTTATTTTTTGTTCATACCACTACAGAATGAGAAATAGTAGGTAGCACTATCGTACCAAACAAAGTTATCACAATGCTACTGTCATTTAACCTGTTCAAAATTGTTGAAAATCATTCTCTAAATTTGTTCATACAAAAGTAGTCTCTAAACATTGGAATTAAAGTCTATAATGTAGTTAGTGGAGAGCGGTCACCGGTGACCGCTCGGAGATATAGGTATGGGTTCATTATGAATTATTATCTTGAGTTGAACTTAAATCTATATTATTACACAAAAGATATCTTACATTTAATTATTTATGTATTTTTATAGTATTATCAGATACATATCTGATAATACTATAGACAGTACATACTGTACATAGTGATACAGGGCTTAAAAATAAATCACAAAAGTTTGTCTTTTCAAAAAGTCAGATACCTAACTACTGCTAAGTCACATGATTCTTATGGAATAAGGTTCAGGTATTATATTGATTAAAATTTACAATATAATAATATAAAAATAATTACAAGCACAAAATCCATGTCATTAAACACAGAGTTACACTACAAATAAAAATTATCTAATCACATCACTTATAATTTTTTTACACATTATTTTATCGTTACAATAGTTAATTATACTTAACAACTATATAATAGCACTCTATCTCAATTTAAAATTAGCGTTTATAAAATAAATTCGTAAGGTACGTCACAATATTTATAAATAAGTTACGTCACAACTTTTTGTGTTCCACGTGGTGTTTTTGAGGTTAAGTATACGACCGTTAAACACAACACAAAATTCAAAATTTATATTCTTAAAAAACAATATTTAGCACTAATATCACTTACGTTCTCTCACATTGGTATCACAGATGGTCCTAATCTAACAGTTCTCAATGGAATCACCATTAAGAACGCCACTACAGTTGTGGCTATAGCAAATATTCCCACCGCCATCACAACGTCCCCCGTTATTTTCAAACTTGACAAACTTTTGACGAAATCCGACCACAACTCTTGAATGATACAAACGGAATCTGCGTTAGATTCTGACGCCTTAGCAGCTCTGACCATCTTGGTATAATATGAAAATTTGCCTTTACAATAATAATTTACAAATTTGCACGCGATATTCTCATGTCTTAAGAATTTTGTGGCTTTGGAAATGTCACTTTGATGTCTGCCTCGTAGGATTTTTTCCGATCGCCTATAGCTGAGACTGTAAACTCGTCTAGGACCGCCACTAAGTTTTTCACACATGGTATTTGTGTCTGCGTCCAAAATCTCGTCGAGAGCCGTTTTTAATTTGTCCATCATGCTTCGAACATTATTTTACTCAGGTTGGTAATTGTAATTTAGTTAGAACTTGATAGTAAATAGCAATGCTCTCCGCGACAAACTCGACAGCGATGATGGTAGACGGCCGTTCGTATCGACGACAAATGAAGCTCTGAGAGATTTGATTAAATAGTACGGTTGGAGTGGGGGTGTTGCCATCTGTCGCACGTGGTACCTAATTTACAAAATTGTCTTTGGAAATTGTGTCTGAAGTCTGGAGCGAATGAAACTCACAATAGAGTAGTTGCCAAGTATAAAAATTAATAATATTGTAATTAGTCCGTCAGTTAGATAATTAAATAAGAATAGACACGTATTTTATTTTGTCATAAAAGGTTAATACTTAGATAAAATGGAGTTAAGTTAAGGAGAGCTACCCTATAAAATGTAATAAATTGTGACGTCACACGATATTTCAAATCCATAATTATATCGTCGAAAGTATTTAATTAAAAATAAAAAGAAAAAATAGGTGCCTAATGTTTTAAAATAATTTACCAGAGGAACAGACCAGCCCTCTGGTCACGAGATACGTGGACTAGGCGTTTTCTAATGTTTCAAACCATGGGCACTAGGACCCATCGATATAATACTAATGGACATGCCTTAGAGATGAGAATTGTGGCACTCCGAAAGAAAGAGAGAAAACGAAGTTTCTGGTCTATCTTTATCTCTCTCAAAATAGTACTGTAGTTAAGACGTTATGAGCGAGAAAGAGATAGCGCTAGACCGAAAGCATAGGCCATCTCTCTCACTCTTCAAACCAAAAATTACTGCAGATTATACGCGTACAGCATGTCCATTAGTATATGTCGATGCGCGGACCTCACGGGCCTAGCGTCTCAATTTCAAACGGCTCAATGATATAATAACCTGTAAGGTAATTATATTATACTTGCGCCGCTTGAGGCTTTCTGCAATGGCAGCAGCCGACGTTATAGGAAGATGAGAAGGTGCAACGGTGTCGACGCAGGTTGCGACCCAATGGGCTGGTCTGTTCCTCGGTCAGAGGATAAGCATTGCCATATAACGTGGCAATGCTGCCAGCCTTTTGGATAATTTCCCTGTTGACAAGGATGCGAAGCATTTTTGATGCTCTTTGTAAATAGTTATTTTTAGTTTTTTTTTTGTATTAGAAATTAGCTTCTGCCCGCGACTTCGTAAGCGCAATCCCATTTTCTCCTGTTCTCGTAGGATTTTCAGGACTTTTTTAAGTCATAATAAGCCTTCTCCTAATAATAATAAATACAACAAAAAAATAATTAGTGAAATCGGTCTAGCCATTCACGCGTGATGTCGTGACTAGGGGAAAAAGGGATTCATTTTTATATAACTAAATAGATAAATCAAAAAAGTAAAAAAAAAAACTACCAGACGGATATTAGAAAGAAAGAAAACACATTAATTCGACAGTAGGCTAGGCACGCACATAAATATAAAAATATACAAAATTAAAAAAGAAAAGAACAAATAAAAACACATTTATATAGAGAATATAGAAAAAAAAACACAAAGAAACGACAGAGTATAACAACACAGTGACAATACAATAATAACACAGTAATTAAATATTAATAAAAACAAGATATAAATAAATAACACTTAATCGGCGCGTGCCCTTGCCAAAAGGGACAAAATATGTAGTATGTAACTACCCTATTAGTATTACTAGGTACAATTTTGAATTTTCTATTAAAAGTAGGCCGTTTTATGTCAATGGGCCTTATTCAGTTTTCTAGGTTTAAAATATATTGTTTCAACTTTTCAATGCAATAAATAATCCTTACTAATATTATAAATCTGAAAGTGAGTTTGTTTGTTTGTTTGTTTGTTTGTTCCACCTTCACGCCGTAACTACTCAACCGATTGCTTTGAATTTTTGCAGACGTAAAGTTAGAAGTCCGGATTAAATAATAGGGTACTTTTTAACCCGGAAAAATTGATATTCCCGAGGAAAAACAAAAGTATTGGTATAGATGGCGCTGTGTGTATTGGTATATGTCACATACGCGAGCGAAGCCGCGGGTAAAAGCTAGTTAAAAAAAAATCATAGTCTCATCCATTGATTTGACATTTTACCTACTTTTGGATTTACTCGCTAATTTTAAGGAAATAAGTATGTTATTTGACGCAGAAATATGATGACGTCATAAGTTGCGGTCTAATACAAAATTCAAAGAAAAGTATCGTTTTTGACATTTCAATAAAAGTATTGAATTTGAATACGTGTCAACTACCGTATTATTTAACATTAACAACAAGGTTATCATGGTTTCCAGGTGTTCATGGCGTGTGTTTTCGGCGGGGACACGCTAATGGAGCTGCGCCAGGCACTGCAGCTCGCTGAGAGTGAACGAATGGGCGGCATATCTCCACACGTCTCGCCTTTCACCAGAGTTAGAGATATCGGCGGGTTGTTATCTGCGTTAGTATCTTATACTTTTTTATATTAAAGCTGTTTGTTGGTTTGTACGGCGCTAATCTCCGAAACTACTGTTTCGATTTTAATAATTATTTTTGTGTTGGGTACTTCGTTTATCGAGGAAGGCTATTTTTTAAGATGATTTCTCCCGCCCGGGTGAGGCGGGAGGGAGTGTCAGACTCTTACTGACTAAAAACCACCCCGTTCCTACTCCTGCAGTTCGAGCCAGAGCCCCGGCAACCTGTTAGGTTCTAAGGTTTTTTTTTTAAGGGGGGAAAATCATCGAATGACTGCTCCCGCCTGGGTGAGGCGGAAGGGAGTGTCAGACTCTTATTGACTAAAAACCACCCCGTTCCTTCTCCTACACGTCGAGCCGGAGCCCCGGTTACCCGTTAGGTTCTCCGCGACTCCGAATCGGCATCGACCCTGTTGGGCCCCATCTGTGGTGGTCTGATGGCTCTTTGAGGCGCGCGCGGAACGCGACGCGCCGTAGGTTCTAAGGCTAAGATAGCTATAAAACATCACACTACGATCGATATGAGCCGAGCAGCGAGTGGAACGGCGCGGGAGTTGCTAGTTTTTTTTTTATGGCATAAGCCGGTAAACGAGCACACGGATCACTTGATGGTAAGCAATCGGCGCCGCCGATGGACATCTGAAAACCCGAGGCGTTACAAGTGCGTTACCTTTGGGAATTGAGAATTTGAGGATTGAAGAGGGGGGGGAGAAGATTGAGGAGGGGGGGGGGGGATAATTGCCTCCGGTAACCTCACTCACACGACGAAACACAACGCAAGCGTTGCTTCACGTCGGTTTTCTGCTCGGTCGTGGTATCAGTCCGGTCGAGCCAGCCCATTCGTGCCGAAGCATGGCTCTCCCACGCTTAAAAAACGGGTGTGAGAACGAGGCCTTTAGTCAGCAGTAGCCCCTTATAGGCTGATGATGCTATGTTTTATTTCAGGAGTGGATTTACATTGCAAACGGTGGATGTAGACTCCATAGTGGTGTGGTACCCCAGTATGTGGGAGGTGATGAGGGACGTGAGGGCCATCGGAGAGGGAAACGCAGCCCACAACCGACCTCTGAGGATTTCTAAGGAGGTGCAATTCGCCGCGGCTAGCATATACGATGAAATGTATGGAAAGGTATGTCATAAAGTAAATACATACATACATTCAATGAGGTTTCGTTTTATGCCCACTAGGTGGCGCTAATCTAAAATGCGGTCTGTTTGTCCAATCAATTACGTCCAATGGTCAGGGCCGTCTTTGACTACGCTGGGGCCCTTGGAATGTTTAAGTTTTTTAGGATCACTAGGATTTACTCCCGTGTCGTGAGTGCGTTTACAAACATACAAATTACACCCAGATCCGAAACAATAATTTGCGGTTCACACAAAGATTTGCTCCGTGCGGGAATCGAACCTGCTACACGTAGCGCGGCGGTGGAAATAGCTTGCTTTCCCGTGATTTGAACAACGAAATCTTTATTACTTACATTCTTTATGGCATATCCGGTAAACGAGCAGACGGATCACCTGTTGGTAAGCAATTGGCGCCGCCCATGGACATTTGGAACACTAGAGGAGTTACTAGCATGTTTCCAGCCTTATCCTCATAAGGCCGGACGCTTAGGATTTGTGGATTAAAGGACTTTCGGGAGGGCATGGGACCTTCAGTATAACACACGGCTGCACACAACGTAAGCGTTGTTTCACGTCGGTTTTCTGCTCGGCCGTGGTATCACTCCGGTCGAGCCGGCCCATTCGTGCCGAAGCATGGCTCTCCCACACTTAAACTTTAATTTTATTAATATGTACACATATTTTTACCATTTTTTCAGGAAATGCCAGATAAGAAAGTACGCGGTGTTCCAGCTACATACCAGATTATCAACTTCCTGGGGTGGAAGCCAGACCCATCCCAACCCATACCTAAAGAAAGAGGCACTGGCCAGGTCTCCCTAAAAGACCTGCACAGAATAGATAAGATAATAGACAAACCAAAAGTAGTGAAATTGACTGAAGAGGATATGAAATAGTATAATACCAGTTTATATTTTACTACTGCCTCGTTGGCCGAGTGGTCGCAAGTGCGACTGCCGGGCAAGGGGTCTCGGGTTCGATTCCCGGGTCGGGCAAAGTATTACTGGGTTTTTAAATAAATTATCAGTAGTAGCACGGAGTCTGGAATTGTGCCCGGTATATGGCAATAGGCTCACCCCCTATTACATGGGACTCATAACATAAATAGTGAAAAGTGGGTGTTACATTGTACAGTGGCATAATGTGCACCTCTGCCTACCCTTTCGGGGATAAAAGGCGTGATGTTATGTTATGTATATTTTACTAGCTATACGTGTAACTTCACGTCCGCGTTGAAAAATTAATCTAAGTTACTTCTTACATCAGCTGCCAATAAACTTGCCCCCATTCGGCCAACGAGGCAGTCAATTGTATTACATAACATAACATTCACGCCTTTTATCCCTAAAGCGGTAGGCAGAAGTGCACACAGAAGTTACACCCACTTTTCACTATTTATGTTAGAGTCCCATCACCATTAATAGGGGGTGAGCCTATTGCCATATACCGGGCACAATTCCAGGCTCTGTGCTACTACTGAGATTTTTTTTAAACTCAGTAATACTTTCCCGACCCGGGAATCGAATCCGACCTCATGCCCGGCAGTAGCACTTGCGACCTCTCGGCCAAAGAGGCAGTCAATTTTATTAATCTGTATAAAAATTTATTTATAACTTTACTAGCTTCTGCCTGCGACTTCGTACGCGTAATCCCATTTTTTCCCGTCCCCGTTCGTGATTTTCGGTAAAAAAAAAATGTCGGTTAAAAAGTATCCTATGTCGGTCTCCTGGCTCTAAGCTACCTCCCTACCAATTTTCAGCCAAATCTATTCTGCCGTTCTTGAGTTATAAGTGGTGTAACTAATATGACTTTCTTTTATATATATAGATAGATATAGACACCTCAGACACACAGTGAAGGAAACCGCCGCTATATTTTTTTTTTTTTTTTTTTAAGGCGGGAAAATCATCGAATGACTGCTCCCGCCTGGGTGAGGCGGAAGGGAGTGTCAGACTCTTACTGAACAAAAAACCCCCCGTTCCTTCTCCTGCACGTCGAGCCGGAGCCCCGGTTACCCGTTAGGTTCTCCGCGACTCCGAATCGGCATCGGCCCTATTGGGCCCCATCTGTGGTGGTCTGATGGCTCTTTGAGGCGCGCGCGGAACGCTCGGCGCCGTACGCTCGGGTCTGTCTCTGGTCGGACGGGGAGCCACCCATGCTCGCCGTCAGCAGACCCGCGCTTACGGTGGCCGGAGATCGTCCCGCGATCCCCGACGCCCGGTGTGTCCTTCGCGATGGCTGGGTCGCGAGGAGGCAGCACTTCGCTGCCTCACGCGTCCCGCCTCCTCCTTAGCTAGCATGACTGCTTCGCAAAAGGAGGAGACGGCATCCCAGTCCCCCTCGCTCCGCATCATGGCCTGCACTAGGCCCGGACGCGAGAGGTCGCCATCGCCGATCACTTCCCTGAGGGCACGGCGGTGCTCAGCCCACGCAGGGCATTCCGCTACGGTGTGTTCCACCGTGTCCTCAGGGCGGTCCTCGCAGTGATGACACCCGGGCGTTTCCTCCCGCCCCATCAGACACAGGTACCTCCCGAAACTTCCATGTCCGGTGAGGACCTGCGTCAGGCGGTAGGTGAGGACGCCGTAGCGTCTCTCAAGCCACTCCTCAAAGAGGGGACTTACCGCTGCAATGGCAGCGAGCCCAGCCCTCGGTTGCGACAGTCGTTGCTGCCATTCCGCCATGAGATCGCGCCGGAGCTCATCCCGCCACGCACTTATCTGGCGCGGCAGCGGAGTTTCGCCCCGGCGACGTGCCTCCGCGCGCATGTTATACACGCGCGCGAGCACCTTCGCCTCCAGATCCCACGGCGGTAATCCGGCAAGGAGGTTCGCCGACTCCCCAGCGATCGTGCGGTATCCGCGGATCATTCGGATCGCCATGACCCTCTGTGACTTGAGCAGCGTCCGAGCAGGACGCCGCAACAAGTTCGGCGCCCAAACAGGGGCGCCGTAGAGGGCCATGGACCGCACGACCCCGGCGTATAACCTCCGGCAGGAGGCGTTTGGCCCCCCGAGGTTGGGGAGGATGCGTTTGAACGCAGCCCCCGTCCTCTCCAACTTTGGAGCCAAACGTCGGAAATGCTCTATGAAGTTCCACCGACTGTCGAGGACGAGTCCTAGGTACTTCATCGCCGTCTCGACGCCGATGGTAACCCCTCCCGCCGTTATTTGGGACCCACCCGGAGGTGGCGCGTTCCCGCGGCCATGAAAACACATGGCCTCGGACTTGTGGAGCGCCACCTCGAGTCCCAACTGCCGGATTCTTTCAACGACTGTCGCAACCGCTGTCGCCATTAAGTCGGCCGCCGCCTGGTGCGACCTCCCGTGCGCTAGCACCAGCGTGTCCTCGGCGTAGCATATTGTGCTAACGCCGTTCGGGAGGTCGGTGCGCAGCACCCAGTCATAGCCGATGTTCCACAGGAGCGGCCCCAGAACCGAACCCTGTGGAACACCGCGTGACATCTCTCGCCGGTTCCACTCGCCCCGGTGACCGGGGTAGCTGACGGACCAACCGCCGCTATATTAGAGTCACAAGTGAATCGGGTACTTTCCTTAATAATAAAAAGAAATTTGACTGTTCAATACAATAAAATATTAAAACATAATCATACTTTTATTATTTGATTTCATTTCCAACTTAATTTTAATACGTTTCCAGCAAGTTTTTAAGAAATAACTATGCTGTTTGACGCTAAAAAAACGTGACGTCACAATACACAATCTCGTACATAATTCATAGAAAACTGTTGTTTTTGACGGTTCGGAAAAGTATTGAATTTGATTAGTTGGCAAATACCCGATTATAAGTTTGAAATCGGCAACCCGCATTGAGCAAGCGTGGTGATTAATGCTCAAACCTTCTCCGTGTGAGAAGAGGCTGTTGCTTGCAATTACAGGCTGGTGATGACTGTAAACTAAAAAAAGTAGTGTTTGAACATCTCTGCCTATACCATATTATTTAAAAGAAATTAGGTATTTATGTTGTTTAGAAATAAAATTGTAAATATTTAAAGTTGTAAATAAGGGAGTTTGTTATGATTAATAAAAAATATTTAAACGCAGTATGTTGCATTTTTTAGTTTTTTATTTATATATATTTATTTAACAATAGGAAAAAGCTATACATCATTTACCAACATAATTTAAAATTACATATTATTATTGAAATTATCAAATCTAACTAAAATATATTATTTTACTTATAACATAATATAAATAGTAATACCTTCGCGAATTCACTAAAACAACATGTTAACACATCAATCCGTGTCTGAAGGTCGGTAATGGTACGGATACGGATTTGTCTCGATAATACCTATAGCCTATAGGGCGGCAAACGATCAGACGGGTCACCTGATGGTAAGCAATCGGCGCCGCTCACGAACACCCGTAATACCAGAGGCGTTACAACTTAGAAGTGTGTTGCCAGCCTTATGGGGGCTTAGGATTTATGGATTAAGGAATTTAGGAACTTCGGGAGGGTATGTGGCCTCCAGTATAATACACGGCTGCGTCGAGGATCGCGGGATGATCTTCAGCCGCCGCACGGGCCTGCGGACGGCGAGCATGGGTGGCTCCCCGTCCGACCAGAAACAGACCCGAGCGTACGGCGCGTCGCGTTCCACGCGCGCCCCAAAGAGCCATCAGTCCACCACAGATGGGACCCAATAGGGCTGATGTGATGCCGATTCGGAGTCGCGGAGAACCTAACGGGTTACCGGGGCTCCGGCTCGAAGTGCAGGAGTAGGAACGGGGTGGTTTTTAGTCAGTAAGAGTCTGACACTCCCTCCCACCTCACTCGGGCGGGAGAAGTTATTCGATGACATTTCCCCTTAAAAAAAAAGTATAAAACACGGCTGCACACAACGCTTTGATCTTTTCTCCGGCCGTGGTATCACTCCGGTCGAGCCGGCCCATTTGTGCCGAAGCATGGTTCTCCCATGTTCTAAGACACTTTGGCAATGCGTAGAGATGTAGCTTCGTTGTGCATTTTCTATCGCTTATACCACGGGGAGTGCTCTGAGGAATTGTTTGACCTGATACCTGCCGCATCTTTTCGCCATCGACCCTCACGACAGCACATACATCCCCACCATATAGATGGTTGGCAGGCCACAACTGTGCGCTTCTCACGTAGCTTCCTGCCTCGCACAGCAAAACTGTGGAATGATCTGTCGTTGGCGGTATTTCCGAACTGATACGACCACTGTTACCAACCGTAATGTTTTAACAGTAGATTTGCTGTTTTTGCTTTGATATCCATGTTTTCTGTTTCATTCTTATTTTCTACTGTTTTCTTTCTACCAAAACAAAATTCCCGATACTATCGATTTTTGAAACATGGACAAGAATTAAAGAATGGAGGAGACTCTCAAACGTTCCTTGCGTTGTGTGAATTACATAGTAAAAAAGCTTTTGTGCCTACCACAGTAGGAACACATAGCAGCGCCGTCGTAGAATGGTTATTTTCACCTACGTATCAGAACATCGACTACAACTATTAAAGGACAAAATCCGAAATAACCGATTGCTATTCATTTGAAGCCACAGAAAGGCACACGAAGAAATTCAACAAGAATATGTATGATTTTAAAACTGAGGGTGAAAATATTGAAGATGGGGCAATTGAAAATGAAAGTGTAAAATAATTTTACTTTGATTTTTGTTTTTTATTGCTGTGATTATAAATATATCAATGTATGTAAATGTGAATTCTAGTCACTTAAACAATTAGGTATTCATTATTTAATTATATTACCAAAAATATTAAATGAGCACTTTTTTCTTTACCTACTGCTTTCTACTGTTTTTTTAAGTGAGTTGTTGTTTTTTTTGTTTTTTGGGGTTGGCAACACTGGATACGACCATTTAAATCTTCAAGAAAAGAGCGTATTCCTTTTTAAATGGCCGGTAACGCGCCAGTGACTCCTCTGGTGTTGCGGGTGTCCTTGGGCGACGCTGATCGCTTACCATCAGCTGTGATCCGTTGAGCAAGCGTGGTGATTAATGCTCTAACCTTCTCCGTGTGAGAAGAGGCTTTGCTCAGCAGTGGGCATTTATAGGCTGTTGATGACATCTATCTACCCTTGTTCCAAATTTCATCTTGATCTCTTCAGCCGTTTGACGTGAAGCCGTAACAAACCCACATACTTTCGCATTTACAATATTAGTGAAGTGATAGTGAAATGAATACCTATACGTTTTATGACGTCATCGTTATTAAAATATTGAGTTTTATAAAAAGTCACGTATAAAGGAAAACTTTTCATATTAATTGTGTAATTGACATCCCAATTATTCATTTGAAAGTTATTTTAAGCAATTATGAGTAGGTACCCATACACAGGCTCTAATTTCTATTACGATATATTTTCGACCATATTTTGGTGTTATAATAGAGTTCAAAATTAATAAATAATTGGAATATATTTCCAATACGTTGACCTCGTTTACGTTTAGTGGTGTTATGAGATTTGTTATTTCGGATCTGGTTACGGATAAAGATATTAGGTTATTTCGATTTTGTATTTAAAATTATTCGTAAACTAAGACAATTTTTTGCAGTTTTTGAGTAAAATTTGGATAAGTAAGACTTAGATTCCGCCTATCATAATTACTATGAGTATGAACAGAAAATATTAACTAACAATATTATATTAGGTACTACTTGATAAAAATCATGCTTAAATCGTTGTCTAAATTTATTTACTGGCAGGATAAACAAAATTGCTCTGCCTATCCTTTCGGGGATTAAAAGGTGATCCTATATTACCTATGTATTTTTAGGTTGTAACCGGATCCGATAATTCGCTTCCGGTTACGGTCCCCCATGACATGCTTAATAAATATCATGCATTATATATAACAATTAATATAATTTGTGCGGTTTTGAGTGCGTTGTGATTTGTGACAAATACGTATAGAATAATGTGACTAACAACTTATTATAGAGGTATTGTGAATTAATTAATGACCAGTTATGTATTACGTCTCAGTGTAAATAGGTATCTTTAAACATGTGACAAAAGTAACGATGTTGTTATTCTCAATCTAAGTGTAAAATTACCTACCAACCTACCAACGGCAAGTACCAATGTGACCTTTTCCGAGTTGTATGTACTTTCTGAGATTATTTAGACACCACTGACAAACGGTGAAGGAAAAACATCGTGAGGAAACCTGGACTTATAATTTCTAATTATAAGTTTGAAATCGCCAACCCGCATTGAGCAAGCGTGGTGATTAATGCTCTAACCTTCTCCGTGTGAGAAGAGGCTTTGCTCAGCAGTGGGCATTTATAGGCTGTTGATGAAATGTAAAATTAATTATTCTATAAATAATGTAACGGTAAAATGGGATGAATGGGGATCGAGAGGGGAATAGGGACCGAAGAGAGGGTGAATAGATACTATGAAGAATTTCCTAATATCTATTCACCCTATTTCTATCTCTTTTCACCTCTCGATCCCTATCCACTCCATTTTACGGTATTTTCGAAATTAAATTCTGCATAATAAGTGCCTATTGATTAAATGTTTTATTAGGTATCTAAAATGCTAGAATGCATAAAAACCCTAAAGGAAAATACAATGTGAATAAATGTCAAAGGCTTGTCGAAAAAGTACGTATAAAAGTTCAGTAAACAGTGAATCAGCGCTGAGTATAGACGAATTATAATTGGAGTTATTTTTTAATAAAAATACATTGGTCAAAATGTTCAACATGATGGTTCGAGTGTTAATATTTTGTACCTGTTTTGCACTCATCAAAGCAGAAGGTAAGTATCTTTCTTTTCTTTTAAGCAATAAAAAACTGCCTCGTTGGCCGAGTGGTCGCAAGTGCGACTGCCGGGCAAGAGGTCTCGGGTTCGATTCCCGGGTTGAGCAAAATATTACTGGGATTTTTTTAATCTCAGTAGTAGCACAAAGTCTTGATATGTGCACCATATATGGCAATAAGCTCATCCCCTATTACATGGGACTCATAAAATAATAGTTAAAAGTGGGTGTTACATTGTACTGGTATTAACCCTTTGAGTACCGTCATTATAGACACAATTAAAGAACAATAGGTTGCGGTCACAAGTGTCCTCGCGGTGTTTGACAGTTTAAGGGCCGTAATGTGCACCCCTGCCTACCGGGGGTAGGGTGCCGGAGGTAGAGAGTACCCTACCCTTAGTAGTACGTCGCGGAGAACCTAACGGGTAACCGGGGCTTCGGCACGACGTGCAGGAGAAGGAACGGGGTGGTTTTTAGTCAGTAAGAGTCTGACACTCCCTCCCGCCTCTCCCAGGCGGGAGCAGTCATTCGATGATTTTCCCCCCTTAAAAAAAGAAAAAAAATTAAAAAAACCCTTAGTAGTACTCTTAGTACACATAACATAACGCCATTTCCGACAAGAGTAGGTTGGAAACGGCGTATGTTAAGTGAGACAGGCGTGTTAGGCATGTCTGTTAATTACCACATTACTCCGACGTTTCGCTGGACAAATGGCGTCCCTGGTTGCGGAAAAACGACATGGATAGTAGATCAATTTGAAGCGGGCAAAGATCTAATTGTCACCACGACAACCGAAGCAGCAAATGACCTCAGAGGCAAACTATCCTGCCGAATCGGAGGACTCGTCAAATCTAGGGTTCGAACAATGGCGTCCATCCTAGTAAACGGCTTGGGGGAGCGAGAGAGCTGCCATCGACTAATGGTAGATGAGGCTCTCATGAACCACTTTGGAGCCGTTGTGATGGCCGCCCGAATAACTCGAGCCAAGGAAGTCCTTCTAATTGGTGACATAAATCAGCTTCCGTTTATAGATCGTGATAACCTCTTCCCTCTACTCTACAGCCGCCCTACATATATCACGCCCATAAGCCAGGAATTGATGTGTACCCACAGAAATCCAATGGATGTGGCGTATGCCCTCAGCACAGTTTACAGTGGCATATACTCGTCCAGGTCGTTCGTGAGATCCCTCGAGATAAAAAGGTTCTCGGGGGCGATGATTCCAAAGTCACTCCCCGACACTTTATACCTGGTACACACTCAGGCAGAGAAGGAATCCCTTAAGAACCAGGGATACGGGTCGACCGTGGGATCACGCGTGCTCACGATACACGAGGCACAGGGACTTTCGTGTGCGAATGTGATTGTTGTCAACACAGCAACAAAGAAACATCAAATACATGACAGCGTACCACACGCGGTAGTAGCAATATCGCGTCACACGCATTGTTGCATCTATTACACAGACAACAGTGAAGACGCGATAAGCAAACTAATCAGGAAGGCGGCTGATGAGGGTGAGCAAGGTATTAAGGACTACAACCTGAAAATGGCTATCAAACACAGGGACGCGGCAGTCATGGGTGCTCTCTTGGGCGGGGAGTGTTGCTTGTGATGGAACGAATGCAACATCAGGAAATGTGTGTGCAGAAACATGTAGAAATAGAATATAACCAATTGACTTTGGACTATTGTACGCTTTATTGGAATCGGCCCATGTGGCAAAGGTTGAGGCGTCATGCACACATAAATGTCCTACAGTCGGTGGCGCTGTGTGTTGGGTTGTTCCGTTCCCAATAAAAAGGTTGACCGGACCAATTGCTGACACACACGTCATACTCATGAACGGGTGCCTTCTGCTGGGTCAGGTCGGCTCTCCCATCTTGTTGGTGGGCTGGTTTCATAAAGCCTTTGAAATAGAAATAAATAAATAGTGCCTAATTATTATGTAACTATACTTTTGGTAATAATTTTAGATGTAGTTAATTGTAGTGTGTAACTAGGTTCCCTCTTTACTTTATAAAAATTGACTAGATGTATTATAATTAAAAAACTGTATGACAAGGGCACGGACCTAGAGTCCGTGGAGAAATAATTTATAATATAAAAAAAAAAAAATTACCACATTACGAATAATGCATCAATTCAAGGAAAATAACAACGACAGGAAATCCATCTATCCTCCCATATTATATTATTTTATATTATTCTATCCTGCTTAGTAAGTCCTATTTATGAAAGTGTCAATCCCGTCAAAACCTTTGAAGGGATCGGGATGGAATTGGAACAGACGTAGATTAGGGACTATAAATATAATACAATATACAAGGTGTAGTTTTGAAACCGTGTCATTTCTCGGGAGCATGTCACAGAAGTCATAAAGGTTCAATGTAAGAGAAAATTTCGGGCCAATAGTTAAAAATACGGCTATAATAAATCGTTTAAGTTCGACATTATTTCAGAATAAGCGACAGCAATGTTTCTTATTGGAGTTTTATGGAATTAGAAATAATATCAATTACGTGTTTGAGTTTGTGTGTGTTAAGCCCCGTTATAAAGCTAGTTACAAGACGGCGGCGTGTAGTTCGCACTTACAGATTTCCGTAATTTCAGAAAAATTACATATATTTACCTACAATTTTTTTTACTGATTCTGACTCAGAATCGATATCTGAGTTACCTCCTAGAAAATGACGCGGCTTTAAAACAACACCTTGTATATACATTGCCTACTTATTATCCCATACGTTAATTTGGTTGATAGAAGCTACTGACAGTTGGTAGAATCGACGTCTGTGCTGTAATTGCGCTGCATTGTGCATAGACACAATGCTGCACGCTTTTTATAGAGTGGTGAAAATCTTTCAATGCCTTCTCTCACCCGGGTGGGGCAAGAGGGAGTGTCAGACTCTTAATTACTAAAAACCATCCCGTTTCTACTACTGCACTTCGAGCCGGAGCCCCGGTAACTCGTTAAGTCGCGGCTCTGTATCGGCGTCAGCCCCATTGGGCTCCATCTGTGGTGGTCTCTTTGAGGCGTGCGCGGATTACTCTTGAATCCAATTCCGATCGATCGGCATTGGTATTGTGATATTTCGTACTCTTGAGTCGAACACTAGCGCCCATTGCATACGTATTGCGTGGATGTTAAATGCTATTTTAACAGCTACGATTGTGGTTGTATAGTTTTGACATTGTATGATTATTGAGATTTTATTGGATTGAAATTGCATCGACATTGAGATTGGTTTCAAGAGTAAGCACCCTGGTTGGTCGACCAACTACCCATGCACGCACCCACGATACCCAAGAAAATTGAAGTGTGATGGCAACGTTTTGCAATTATAAAAAAAGGATGAAATATCCAGGCCATGTGTGGGAGAGCCATGCTTCGGCACGAATGGGCCGGGTCGACCGGAGTGATACCACGGCCTCACAGAAAACCGACGTGAAACAACGCTTGCGTTATGTTTCGTCATGTGAGTGAGGTTACCGGAGGCCCAATTACAACCTTCCTCCTCGCTTCCTCAATCTCTTAAATCTATGAATCTCCAACAATCCTCAAAATTTCCAAAAGGCCGGTAACGCACTTGTAACGGCTCTGGTGTTCCAGGTGTCCATGGGCGACGCCGATTGCTTACCATCAGGCATAGAGCAACACGGGCCACCGGCGGACCAGAAAAAAAATGTTCCCTCTACTTATCATTGTAGGCACCTAATGTTTGTTTTGGTTTTCAGAAAGTAATACAATTTATATGGAAATTAATACGAAGCATGATTGTTCCGTTGCTCCATCATACGAGTTGATAGCAGGACCGCAATGTTTTGTGAAACTTACAACGCCCTATGTGCTGAGTTCAGGCAGGTTAGTATTTTTGTATTACTTATAACTCTTGTGAGAAGTTAAATTATTTTACGACTTACTCACGTCACTATTTGTCGGGGTAACGCCCGAATACTGAATGAAAAGCTTCTTTTTATAACTCGTGTGTAAGTCGTGGTGGCCCGGACGTTTAAAACGCCCGCTTCTCATGCATGAGGGCGCGGGTTCGAAACCTACCCATGGCAAGCACCAATGTGACTTTTTCCGAGTTATATGTATGTACTTTCTAAGATTATTTCGACACCACTGACAAACGGTGAAGGAAAACATCGTGAGTAAACCTGGGCTTATAATTTCTAATTACAAGTCTGAAATCGCCAATCAGCATTGAGCAAGAGTGGTGATTAATGCTCATACCTTCTATGTATGAGAAGAGGCCTTTGGTCAGCAGTGGCTACTTGTAGGCTGTTGATGATTATGACTTTTTAAATCGCACTTAAGTATAGTTCTGTCACTACAAATTCTTTGTAAAATGACAGAGATGGTACGATATTTGTACAACTATAAATACTAGCCTTTCAGTATTTGGGCGTAACTCGACTAGTTTCAAGGCGCTCCAGGGGCTGCATAGCTGCTAGGTCGTCCGCAGCTTGGCGGCGGGCATTAAGGTCATATTAAACTTAATGGGCACGGCTCCAACTCAACAATTAACTTGTCATTTAAATTTGAACATTAATTGTTATGTCATATGACATATTTTAAGAGTGGAAGAGCCGTGTTTCAAAACTAATGGGCCGGCTCGACCGGAGTGATACCACAGCCTCACAGAAAACCGACGTGAAACAGCTTGCGTCGTGTTTCGTCATGTGTGAGTGAGGTCCGGATGCCCAATTACCCTCCCCTCCCTCCGCAATCTCTCCAATCCCTGAATCCCCAACAATCCTCAAACTCCTAATCCCCAAAAGACCGGTAACGCACTTTTAACACCTTTGGCGTTCCAGGTGTCCATGGGATCCATCTGCTCGTTTACCGGCTTATCCCATAAAAAAATGTCAATATGAAAAAGCTATATGCGCTTGCGCGCTTAAGGAGGCCATGCACGCTAGGTTTAGCGTGATGGTTTTAGCCGTGCATGCATAACCGACAGGCAAGCCCTAGCGTGTATGTGATTAAACTGTACAGTAAAGTACAGTTATCGGTGCATGTACAGTCAAAGGTCAAAAGTCCACCGTCACCGTAAGTGATGTCCACACGGCAATGCGTAAGTAATTTCATATTAATGTGCCTAAAAACTCGTGCGTACACATAAACACACGCACGCGTACGCACACGGATAAAAATATGCGTGTGCGTGTGTGTATAAGCGCTGCAGCGCAACCGATAGTAGTCTTACGGTGGCAGTGGACTTTTGACCGTTGACCGTACATGCAAAACCTAACGTGAATGTGTCGTATGAAACTCGGTTATGCTTGTCGGTTTTGCATGCAGAGTTATAACCATTATGCACATAACCTAGCGTGGATGGCCTCCTTTACAATCTTTTTATATTGATTCCAAAGCTTAAAACGCCGCGCCGGAACCGTGACGTGTCAGTGCCGTTATTGTGTGCGATGCCCCGTAATGTATGTATCTGTACCTATGTTTCAGATTGGATGTGAACAATGGACGTCACTATTTTACTGTTTCGGATAGAATAGAGTTCCATGGCAATATGTCACGTAACTTTACAATCTTGAATTTACATCGTGTTTACACTTTTGTAAGTAGTTAGTTGCTTTATTGTTATTTTTAAATCGGTCGAGTAGTCACAAGTGCGCAGGGCAAGGGGTTTCGGGTTCGATTCCCGGATAGAGCAAAGTATTATTAGGTTTTTAAAAAAATCTCTGTAGTAGCACGGAATCTGGAATTGTGCCCGGTATATAGCAATAGGCTCACCCCCTATTACATGGGACTCATAACATAAATAGTGAAAAGAGGGTGTTACATTGTACAATGGCATTAAGTGCCGTAACGTGCACCTCTGCCTATCCCTTCGGGGGTAAAAGGCGTGATGTTAATATGATGATGATAAAATTTTTTGAACTAGGTATCTGATCTGAAATATGCCTAATTTTAAAATCCGATAAAATGAAAATACCTAAGTATATACCAATTCCAGACTCCGTGCTACTACTGAGAATTTTGAGTCGCACTAGCAACCACAAGGCCAACGACGCAGTTATTACTTTTATTATGATACCTGCTTATAATGTACCTATATGTATACCTAATATTTCAAATGACAAACGAAGTAGGAAAACATCGTGAATAATCCTGGGCTTATTTTAATCATAAGTTTGAAATCGCCAATCCGCATTGAGTAGCCGTGGTGCTCAAACCTTCTCCGCGTGAAAAGAGGCTTTGCTCAGCAGTGGACACTTATAGGCTGTTGATGTGATGATGCGATAAATTTATTTTTCAGATTATCAATTTGGAACATGACTTAAACGGAGACTGGAAATTTTTCTTTACTTGTTTTGATGGGCTGGATATGACGTACAAAATTTGTTCAAAGTCCAATAAGACTGACAACAAATATTCCTGTTTCTGTAAAACTAACGTCACTATCAGTAAGTTTAATATTTTTGCCCCAGTAAATTTCGTACACACGGCTACACATCGAGCTTTACATAACCAGTATAAACAAAGTCAAAGTCAAAGTATTTATTTCAATTAAACCATAGTTTGGTACTTTTGAAACGTCAACAAATACAAAATAAATAATAGTCTGTTAGTCAGTCCGTCAGTGAAACTAGGTGAAGCTAGGTGCTCATTCCAAAAAGTAGATTCGAATGGAGAAGAACGAGCAAGAAACTCCATTCTACAATGTCTCTGATAAATATTTCAATACTGTACGCATATTTAAGAACAATGCAAAGACACGCTTGACGCATTATACTAATAACTTACTAAAATTAAAAAAAAATAAAAATCTTAAAGTCCAACATGGTGCTCACATATGCATGCAAACTGAACGTTAAATGTGCGGAAAGATGATGCGACGCGACACCAGGATAAACTGGTTTTGTATAGATTGATATGTGGCCGTGTGTACCACTTAAAAAGATTTTTCTCACCTTTTAGACCTTCCCTGGACTTTCACGAACATTTCAATACCATTAAAAAACTGTGTGTAAAAATAACCGACTTCAAAAACTAAAGACAAACGAAAAGTGAAAACTAAAAAGGAAAAAAATAACTATTATTGATCATACGTACTTATAGCTTACACACCCACTGATAGGTTAGAAGTAGAGGGAGCTCGCGCATTTTTGCGGTGCGACGTCGCATCCCAGTTTTGTGTACGGCCCTGGGTACAGTCACCAGCAGATCAATCTACTCCAGTCTGTCAAAATTATTCATTGAATCGTCGACTTTATGTCATTAGGTAGGTACTATAAAGTTAAAAATATAATAAAGAAATTTTACAGAAAAGATGGCTCGATTTGCTGGCCACCGTACTTCTCAGTTGCACAGGTCCATTCAATTTGTTTACATTTGCTACCTAGTGTCATGTTTTATTATGCAGCCGTATCTGTACCGCCCCGTAAGTATTTAACACTAGCTTTTACCCGCGGCTTCGCTCGCGTCACAAAAGGATAAAAAGCCATTGTGACATATACCAATACACACAGCGCCATCTATACCAATACTAATAATATCAAATTTTTCCGGGTTACATAGTACCCTATTATTTAATCCAGACTTCTAACTTTACGTCTCCAAAATTTAAAAGCAATCGGTTTAGTAGTTACGGCGTGAAAGTGGAACAAACAAACAAACAAACTCACTTTCCGATTTATAATATTAGTAAGGATGAATTTGTATTTTATTTTAGAAGAACAAGAGATGCTTCATTCCAGTGCAGCCGTATCTGTAACACCTCGTAAGTATTTAACATAATATAACTTCACTTAACGTTATGTAACGTAACATAACGTAATGTAATTGTAATAAAACTTAATTTGACGTAATATAACGTAACTTAAACTAACACAACAATTTTAACATCCATGTATCTTAGGTACATACATATATTTTAATATTATTTTTATTTTCAGATGACGATACAAATCTATTACCAATAGTTGTCGGGTTATTTGGAATTTGGAATAATAGTGATATGTCAAACACTATATATTGTTTATATTAAACGCCAGAAGTTTGTAGGTAAGTTTATTACGAAAGCGTCTCCATCTAGCGTAGACGATCGAAAACGTGTGCGCAGCGTAGATGCGCGTTGTTGCGGCGTTTCTTCTATAGTCAATTAAACTGTGCTAACGCGGCGCAGACGTCACACAATTGCGTTGTCACACAACGGGTGCTCTGGGGCGAGTGGTTGCGGTTGGCGGGGAGAGGTCAGATGTGAAGAGGATGGTAGGTAACGCGGCGCATGCGACGCACACTTTTTTTTTTTTTTTTTAAGGGGGGAAAATCATCGAATGACTGCCCCCGCCTGGGTGAGGCGGGAGGGAGTGTCAGACTCTTACTGACTAAAAACCACCCCGTTCCTTCTCCTGCACGTCGAGCCGGAGCCCCGGTTACCCGTTAGGTTCTCCGCGACTCCGAATCGGCATCGGCCCTATTGGGCCCCATCTGTGGTGGTCTGTTGCTCTTTGAGGCGCGCGCGGAACGCGACGCGCCGTACGCTCGGGTCTGTTTCTGGTCGGACGGGGAGCCACCCATGCTCGCCGTCCGCAGGCCCGCGCTTACGGTGGCCGGAGATCGTCCCGCGATCCCCGACGCCCGGTGTGTCCTTCGCGATGGCTGGGTTGCGAGGAGGCAGCGCTTCGCTGCCTCACGCGTCCCGCCTCCTCCTTAGCTAGCATGACTGCTTCGCAAAAGGAGGAGACGGCATCCCAATCCCCCTCGCTCCGCATCATGGCCTGCACTAGGCCCGGACGCGAGAGGTCGCCATCGCCGATCACTTCCCTGAGGACACGGCGGTGCTCAGCCCACGAAGGGCATTCTCCCACCGTGTGTTCCACCGTGTCCTCAGGGCGGTCCTCGCAGTGATGACACCCGGGCGTTTCCTCCCGCCCCATCAGACACAGGTACCTCCCGAAACTGCCATGTCCGGTGAGGACCTGCGTCAGGCGGTAGGTGAGGACGCCGTAGCGTCTCTCAAGCCACTCCTCAAAGAGGGGACTTACCGCTGCGATGGCAGCGAGCCCAATGCGACGCACACTTGCGGTGCTAACGCAGCGCATTCGTTTGCACTGACGCCTTGACAACGCAACGCCTGCGCTGCCCAGACGCGTACACGTGTGTATACATCTGTGTCGCGTATACGTTTATCGAATGCTTACGCTGGACAAGAGCTAATGTAAAGTCGCTCTAAGAGGTGTCAGTAAATAGTGTGAGAGGGAGAGTGACTGCACGCGGCGGATTTATACAGACTTAGGCCTATTCTTGCCTTAAGATTTGTTTACAAATATTTTATTTTATTTTTGCCAACGTATGGTGAGGAAAGTCCTTTATTTTATAAACTGTACAGATGTTTTAATTGGGTACATTCTTTAATCAAAAAATAATTTATTTCGACTGTTCAATACAATAAAATATTAAAAAATAATCACACTTTTATTGTATGCCAGTATGCCATGAGACAGTCAGGAGATTTACGAAAGAGGTGTATCTAGCGAGCGCGCTGGGGAAGTCGGTAGAGGGCGCCCTTTGTGTATTTAATGGGGGAGAAAGGATAGCGCCCTAGACGGATATATTTGTCTTTGCGATTGACAGTTTGTATTTGTACGAGATTGTGTATTGTAACGTCACATTTTTATAGCGTCAAACAACATACTTATTTCTTAAAAAATTGCTGGAAAAGTACTAAAATTAAGTTGGTCATAAAATCAATTATCTAATGAAAGTGTGATTATGTTTTAACATTTTATTGTATTAAACAGTCGAAATAATTTATTTTTGATTAAGCAAAGTACTCAAGTACCGCACTAAAACGAATGTGTTTTTTACCTACAGGTCGATACAGAGACATATCGGCACGACCACCGCAGCCTCTACCTCTTGACATATACGACAAAGTAGGTTAGTATATAATACTACTATTAAATGATTTTTATCGGTTCAACCGATCGCGAGGTAATCACGCACAGACATACACACAGGTCAAACAGTGAACCTCCTTTTCTATTTTTTTGGATCACCTGATGGCAAGCAATCGGCGTCGCCCATGGACACCTGGAACACCAGAAGCGTTACAAGTTCGTTACCGGCCTTTTGGGGATTAGGAGTTTGAGGATTGTTGGGGATTCGGGGATTGGGGAGATGGGGAGAGTTGAGATCTATTATAAATTTCAGCCCTAAATAAGACTTGAATTTACTCTTTTAATTTACTTCGACTGTGCCTTAGTATAAGTATGTTTAGAAATTCGTCACGTACGTCCAGACGTTTTTTAACCATATCTATTCTTATTTGTAGAAGATCAGCATGAGCAGGGTTTCATGAACAAAGCTTTTAACATAGCTGATGACGGGACTATCCCTAAAGTTGCAAGGAAGGCACCACAATGTAAGTACCTAATGTTATACTTTACTAGCTGTTGCTCGTGACTTTGTCCGCGTAGAATTTGATTCCTATTTTGTCCCATGGGAGTGAATAAATATCGGGATAAAAATCTTATTTTATCTTATCTTCTAAGTACTATAAATACCCTACCCTACCCTTCTAAGTACTAAAATACTGCCTGTATACCAAATTGTCGCGGAGAACCTAACGGGTAACCGGGGCTCCGGCTCGACGTGCAGGAGAAGGAACGGGGTGGTTTTTAGTCAGTAAGAGTCTGACACTCCCTTCGGCCTCACCCAGGCGGGAGCAGTAATTCGATGATTTTCCCCCCCTTAAAAAAAAAAACAAATTTCAGCGAAACCCGTTCAGCTTGATTTGCGGACAAACAAACAAAAAAGACATTTTCACATTTACAATATTAGTGTGACAGTGTGATTTATTATACAAAGCTGAAGTGTTTGTTTATTTGAACGCTCTAATCTCTGGAACCACTGATTCTATTAGAAAAAATCTGTGTAAATTAATCAGAAGTAATTTTTTTTACGAGGGCCAAAGTTATCAAATGACTTCTCCCGCCCGGGTGAGGCTAGACTGAGTGTTAGACTCTTACTAACCACCCCGTTCCTACTCCTGCACTTCGAGCCGGAGCTCCGGTAACCCGTTAGGTTCTCCGCGATTGTTTAAGAAGAGTAGCAAACGAGGACGCGCATCACCTGATGGTAAGCAATCGCCGTCGTCTATGCTCAGACGCAACACCGGAGAAGTTACACACAAAGCGCTTCGTATCAAGCTTCCTTATGCGTACTGCTAAGGAGTGAAATTCTTTGCCAGAGTCTGTATTTCCTGAAGGGTATAATCTGGGTGTCTTCAAGGCCCGAGTGAATAGGTTGCTCATGGGACGACGTGCTCCATCGTAGACCGCATCATCGCTTACCACCAGGCGGGATAGTGGTCAAACGTCGGCCCATCAAATATAAAAAAGTATGTTGCCGGCCTTTAACCTTAACTTTGAGGATTGAGGATGGAGGATTGCAACTCCGGTAACCACACTCATACAGTGAAACACAACGCAAGCGTTGTTTCTGAGGCTGTTGCTTTTTATTTCTCAAGCTTTAGCTACTCCTGCGCGTTTTCACCCGCTCTACTCAGTCCCTATTGGTCGTAGTCAGATATTTTATAGCCTTCCTCTTTAAATGGAGACACAGAAATTGATCGGTGACGGCGACCTCTCGCGTCCGGCTTCAGTTAAAACTATGATACGGAGCGAGGGGGATTGGGATGCCGTCTCCTCTTTCTGCGAAGCAGTCATGCTAGCTAAGGAGGAGGCGGAGCGCGTGAGGGAACGAATCTTCTCACGCCCCAGCCGTCGCGAGAGACACTCTGGGCGTAGGGGATCGTGAGACGATCTCCGGCCACCGTAAGTACAGGCCTGCGGACGGCGAGCATGGGTGACTCACCGCCCGATCAGAACCAGACCCGAGCGTACGGCGCGTCGCGTTACGCGCGCGCGGCTCCCGCCTCACCCAGGCGGGAGCAGTCATTCGATGTTTTCCCCCCTTAAAAAAATCTTCGTAAACAATACCTCGTTGATTGAGTTGCCTGCCGACCGCCAAGTCAAAGTCGATTACCTATTTTTAATTATTTGCAGTGCCTTCTCATCGTTGCCATTGCAAACCACTTAGGCATGAGACTTGTACCATTGTAGATGAAAGGAATGCTCCTAATGTTATTAGAAAACCAGCAAAAGGTAACTAAACATTTTATTAAAAATTAAAGTTATTAATTGTTTTCATAATTTGTGTCTCAATTTCATACAATTATAGAAATGTTAATAACTAGATGTAAATAATGTATTCAATTAATTCAATAATTTTGCATGCCGTAAGGCAAAATGTACCGGGACTCTCCATAAGTTATAAAACAACATATTTGCTACCTACATTTTTAGCAAATAAATTATTTCTGATTTCTGAAAGAGGGTTCACATCGAGTTATACAAAACCAGTTTATCATGGACCCGCTTTATATGATCTTCTCATACATTCGACGGTCAGTTTACACTGGTTATCTTACCTTGATATGCAGCCTTGCAAAGCAATTTCTTTAAATACAAAGCAATTTCTTTAAATACAATGTTTCTAATTATGTTTTCAGCGCTCCCTATGATGTCTTTAGGGCAAGCTCACAACGTGGCCGATAAAAGGACAGCTCCTAATGTTGCTAAGAAGCAATGTCAAGGTAAATGCCGCGGGTTCGATTTCCGTGCCATCAATGTTGTTGTGGCAGAGTGGTTGTAGCAGAGTAGAATGCTATTGTCACCACCCCTACTATTCATCCGAGTGTCTTATAAGTCAACTAAAGGCACATTTAACACAAACAACCATACCATAACATCACACCTTTTATCTCCAAAGAGGTAGGCAGAGGTGCACATTACGGCACTTAATGCCAGTACAATGTAACACCCACTTTTCACTATTTATATTATGAGTCCCATGTAATAGAAGGTGAGCCTATTGCCATATACCGGACACTATTACAGACACCGTGCTACTACTGAGAATTTCCAAAAAAAAACCCAGTAATATTTTGCCCGACCCAGGAATCGAACCCGAGACCCGGTCGCACTAGCGACCACTCAGCCAACGAGGTACTCCTCACAAACTTAGTTCCATTTAAAATATTTTATTTCAGTACTGTTGCCGTTATCATCACCGAAGGTTAAGCAAATACGAGGTTTAAAATCAACTCATATGAACCAGTGTAGCTGTTCTCGTCCACGGCTACGCCCACCTTCACGACCACGACCACAACGACGGTCAAAAACTGGCACCCCTACAAATATGCAAGAATTAATAACATTAAGTATGTATTAAACCAGATATCCTTGGGGATGATGACAGGGTATGAAAATTAAAAATATAATTAGTCCGTAAGTTAGGTAATGAAAAAATATTAGACACGTATTTTTTTATTTTGTCGTATAATAAAACAATACTTAGATAAAACGAATCAAAGTTTAGGAGTGGGGGCTAAAACGTCATTCCTTAGTCTACCGTGTTAATCAATAAACAAATAAATAAATAAATAAATTAGTATAAAATGTACTGAGAAGTGACGTCACGCGACATTTCAAATCAATATATCTTCGAAACTATTCGTTTCTGTGAGAAAATAAAAAATACGTGTCTAATGTTTTTAAATAATCTATCAGACGGACATTAAAATAAAAATTAGTCGTCTACCCCAGTTTGTTTGTTTGTTCCGCTTTCACGCCGTAACTACTAAACCGATTGTTTTGAATTTTTGCAGACGTAAAGTTAGAAGTCTGGATTAAATAATAGGGTAATTTTTATCCCGGAAAATTTTGATATTCCCGAGGGAAAACAAAAGTATTGGTATAGATGGCGCTGTGTGTATTGGTATATGTCACATAGGCTACTTTTTATCCTTTTGTGACGCGAGCGAAGCCGCGGGTAAAAGCTAGTATACATATAAAGAAAACAGTAAAATAGTCTCTGAATTCAATCACCAACCCTAATACCTACTGGTGCATATAGAAGAACCCCTCTGTGGTTCGAAATTAGTAGAGCTTTTCTCAGTGTGCGCAACATCGTCGTGACCACGACGTGACGCTGTTTATGTGGAAGAACAGGGGTTCTATATATATTCACGTGAGTAACCCGCGATTTTTAGTTAATTTAGTATGTCTCACGATAGTTATTATAAAAAACATTATTGAAGTATTTATTATTTTATATAATGTAACTAGCTTTTACCCGCGGCTTCGGTCGCGTCACAAAAGGATAAAAAGTAGACTTTCCATCCCTTCAACTACCTCCAGTTAAAAAAATCACGTTAATTAGGATTAGTACCTCCATTTTGCTGTTTAAGACAGGCAAACAAACAAATAGCTTTCCGCTCGCGTGGAATTCGGTTATATCGCGCTATTTAGATCTTTCCAATAAGTAGATAATTCGTTGACTGGTTTTAAATGACATACAGCGCTATCTATACCAATACACACAGCGCCATCTATACCAATATATTTGTTTTCCCTCGGGAATATCAAATTTTTCCGGGATAAAAAGTACCCTATTATTTAATCCGGACTTCTAACTGTACGTCTACAAAGTTTCAAAGCAATCGGTTTAGTAGTTACGGCGTGAAAGCAGAACAAACAAACAAACTCACTTTCCGAATTATAATATAAAGTAAGGATTGCGTAATTGAAGAGGAAATTTGTATAATTAAAACAATTACCTACGTATGTAGCTCTATATGACGAATCACTGCATAGTATAAAACAAAGTCGCTATCTTCCGTCTGTCTGTCCCTATGTATGTTTAGATCTTTAAAACTACGCAACGGATTTTGATGTAGTTTTTTTAAATAGATAGAGTGATCTTGAGGAATGTCTATATATATAATACACAATACACGCGTAATATAGTAGAGAAACATTGATAAATTTAGAGGTTTCTAATTGCACCCGTGCCAAGCCGGGGCGGGTCGCTAGTTATATAGACGTCACTGTAAGTCTTTGAACGTAATATTATTAATTTATGCACTCGTACCTATAATATTATGGTAAACCCATGTCAATTTTCCGGGAAATTAGAAAACTATTGTTATAATGTTTATTGCAATTATGCTAAATTATATGATATAATATTTATTACAGAGAACTATCATATTCTTATTTTACGGTACGGAAAAGTGCGACTACGCGGCAAGGGGTCTCGGGTTCGATTCCCGGGTCGTACAAAGTATTACTAGGTTTTTTAAAAAGATCCCAGTAGTAGCACGGAGTCTGGAATTGTGCTCGGTATATGGGAATAGGCTCACCCCCTATTACATGGGACTTATAACATAAATTGTGAAAAGTGGGTGTTACATTGTACAGTGGTATAATGTGCACCTCTACTACCCCTTCGGGGATAATAGGCGTGATGTTATGTTATGTTATGGTACAGGGAATTCTGTAGTCCAGCTCTTGGATTAAATTAATCAATTTTATTAGTTATTGGAACCGTATTTCTCCTCTTTTCCGAGTCAAAGTTATGACAATAGTTATATCATAGTATAAAGAACATGTGGTTATATTGAATTAAAATACCATTTTAATACAGTCTGAATATAATAAGTTTAAAGCAAACGGACAGTGGCCAGTCATCTTATCAACGTACTCTAATCTGTTCATTAGATTTCAGACTTTATGGCAAAACAATAAAGTTAAAAATGTAATAGAAAAACTTCACAGAAAATGATACATTGACCTGCTGGCTACCGTTTACATATAAACCTACGTCTTAGTCTCATCATCATCATCTTATAAATGTCCATTGTTGTCCAAAGGCCTCTTCTCACACAGAGAAGGTTTGAGCATTAATCAACACGCTTGCTCAATGCGGGTTGGCGATTTCAAACTTATAATTAGAAATTATAAGCCCAGGTTTCCTCACGATGTTTTCCTTCACCATTGGTGGTTCAAATAATCTTAGAAAGTACATATAACTCGGAAAAATTCACATTGGTACTTGCCGTTGATAGGTTTCGAACCCGCAACCTCGTGCATGGGAAGCAGGCGTCTTCAACCTCCGGGCCTCCACGACACGTCTTAGTCTCACGGGGGTAAAAACCAAAAGTGTATGTGAAGTCGGATGTTTTAATAACTGTTTTTTTTTCATAGATAATCGAGTGACATGGGCAGAAGATTGGGAATACGAACAGTTGGCGCCGATGCAAAAATATTTATAACAATTCTGAACAGGACAAACGCTTTGGGAGTCACCGGTGACCGGCGCCGACGTTAGCGAAGGACTTTCTTTTTTTTAAGGGGGGAAAATCATCGAATGACTTCTCCCGCCTGGTTGAGGCGGGAGGGAGTGTCAGACTCTTACTGACTACAAACCACCCCGTTCCTACTCCTGCACTTCGAGCCGAGCCCCGGTAACCCGTTAGGAGCGAACGACTTGCCTTTTATTTTCTTGTTTTTTGACCTCAAGATGGAAGGAATTTTCATAGAGCCTTATGAAGCCTCGTGGAGGAGATTTTCCTTTCTCATCAGATTTTTATTTATTTAAGTTTTATACAATTGTATAAGGAGGACTTAATGATAACAGCATTCTCTGCCAGTCATCCTTTGGGTAGTGCAGAAATGTATGTGGTAGCTGCAAAACTGTTATGAGAGATAGTGGTAATTATCCAAATTAATAAAAGGATATCAAAAGCATACATAAAATATATATATATAGATATATATTTATATAGATTTCTAATGGCAGTCAGAGATTTATTTAGCTACCAATGTAAGGCACACTTTTATGACACGTCTTAGCAAAGGCTCGTATACAAAACTGCGAAGCGAATTTGCAACGGAAAAAATGACGATGCAAATTGCTGCGATGCGATTTCGTGCGACAAGGCGTCTCCCAGGGTGACCATTCCTTCGACGACCGTCAACCATACTAAACATATTTTAAATTGAAAACTAGGTCGTGACATGGATCGTAAAACGAAGTGTGCACTTTTGTTATTGCTTAGGAGATACAGGAAAAGGAAACTAAGACGATGCGACGCGATGCGAATCAATTCGCAAGTTCTTGCGATGCGTAGAGGGAACTCGTACATTTTTGCGGTGCGACGTCGCATCGCAGTTTTATAACGAGTACGCGTAGCTCTGATTGGCCGTCTCCAATGAACCAAAACCAACCAATCAGAGCGAGGTCTCGTTTCGATTACTTTAAATGTAAGATAAACTTGTACTAAGCCCTCAGTGCCTTTAGCCAAACGCCACTTTAGCGCTTGTCTACAGAGACAGTACAAAACTAAATGTATGGGGATGACACGTGTAAAAATGTACGTCAATCCCATATAATTTGGTTTTCTATTAAACATGTAGACAATCGCTAAATGACATTTGGCTACAGCTACAGGTCATGTCATAAAATTGCCACCATTCACCTTCGGACGAGTTGCAGTGACCTATTTAGTAGTAGTAGACTATTGAGCAAATATCTGCGTTCTCCAAGCCGAAGAACTCTTGAGAAGTTGCCTCTTATCACAAAAGTATTTTTTTAATATTTGATGGGTTCGACCACTACCTCGCCTGGTGGTAAGCGATGATGCGGTCTACGATGAAGCACGTCGTCCCATAAGCAACCTATTCATTCGGGCCTTTAGGGAACAGAGAGTATAGTTCCCTAAGATCGGAAAAGGAGGATCCTGCGACCAGGAGAGGTGATCATGGCTGGCGGGCTTTCGGCCAACAGTTGTTCGTTGGGATTTTCTATCCGTGTTAAATCAAATGTAAACTTCGCATGTCCGATGTAGGATTTTATGACGTCATCCGTTGGCATGTGACATGTGCCGTCACATACCCTTTAGGAAATACTCTCTGGCAAAGAATTCCACTCCTCATTCATTCACTGTAAATCGAAAAATTAGACTCCCATGAAATATGTCCGAGGGAAATACTGTTATGAAACTTGATGTTGATCCGTCTTGAAGATCAATGCTAATTTTTTTATGTTTGTGAAAAGGGACTCATGACACAGTGACTTTATTTGAGTTATATAGATTTTTACTCTTTAATATTTAGTTTATAATTAATTATTATGATTATGTAAATAGATAATCAATAGATTTTTAAATACACTTTTTGAAAATAAATCATCTGGTTGTATTTTATTTACTGTCCTTTAAAATAATTGACTGCCTCGTTGATCGAGTGGTCGCAAGTATAACTGCTGGGCAAGGGGTCTCGGGTTCGATTCCCAGGTCAGGCATAGAATTACAGGGTTTTTAAAAAATCTCAGTAGTAGCACGGAGTCTGGAATTGTGCCCGGTATATGGCAATAGGCTCACCCCCTATAACATGGGACTCAGAATATAAATAGCGAAAAGTTGCACTGACAGTGGCATTAAGTGCCGTAGTGAGCACCTCTGCCTATCCCTTCGGGGATAAAAGGCGTAATGTTATATGTAATATTTGTCTAATAATCACCACCTCTTTTCTAACTGTGGATATTTTAAGAGCTCCGGAGCTGTGGACAACCTAATGGGTAAGCAGGGTTCCTACTTTGAACCGAAACCCTAGGTAGAATGAGATGGTGTTTAGTCAGTAAGAGTCTGACTGCCTCTCACCTCACCTAAGGCGACGAAAGTCATTGAATTATTTTCCCCCCTTAGGGCCAATTTATACTAGGGCAGAGTCGAAGCACATCGGAGCGTTTATTCAAAACTGAACATAACAAATTCAACCTTAACCCAACCACTTAACGCACGCATTGCTTTTGAGACTTTAAAAAGACGCGCGCTTTCTTCGGAATTTGCACGTCTTCGCGTGACCAACGCTGATTGGTGCGCGCGTATTCTCGCGTATCCACGCGCCCACTAGCGAATGGATTCGGACGAAAAATTAATTTACTGGTGCAAAAATATGAATGCCTCTATATAATCTAAACCTACTACTCGTCAAAGAGTACGCGCGTATACTCTCGAATACGCGCGCATTCGTGCAACTTCTCTTTAGTTGTAAGAATTTGACGCTTCGGTGCGCTTCGACTCTAGTATAAATTTACCCTTAAAAGAGACCTTAGATGTCTTTATACATCTGTCAGAGACCGGTTAGCAGTACTCTCTGGATGATGAACTAGTCAAGTGTCGAGATTATGGCGGACCTTCTTATGTAGAGAAGAGTTATAATAATAACTTGAGTTGTGTAAATGAACACGTGCAGTTATGTCTACTCTCTTAGGAAATAAAAATCGCTATGTTCTTAAATTACGTATATTTTTTTGCTATTTACAATTTGAACCTTAAATTAATACAGTCTAATTAAATTAGTTAGTCTAGTTTGATAATCTCATTTACAATAATGGTGTTATACAGACAACCTCATAAATGTATCTGTAACTTTAAGCAATTATAACCTTAATTACATTATAATAAAGATGGAACTACTAATATAATTGGGTAGGTTTAGTTTGTTGTTGGTTTGGTCCTTAAACATCCTCATCCTTATAACGAGATCAACATAAACGATCCTCAAACTCCTTATCCCCAAAAGGCTGGTAACGCACTTGTAACGCCTCTGGTGTTCCAAGTGTCCATGGGCGACGCCGATTGCTTACCATCAGGTGATCCGTCTGCTCGTTTACCGGCTTATGCTATAAAAAAAACAAAAATAAATTATTTCGACTGTTCAATACAATTAAATATTACAAAATAATTACAGTTTTATTCATTGATTTTATGAACAACTTAATTTTAATATTATTCCAGAATTTTTTTTAGTAATAAGTATGCAGTTTGACGCTATAGAAATTGTGATGTCACAATACACAATCTCGTACGAAATTCATAGAAAATTATAGTTTTATACAGTTCAAAAAAATATTGAATTTGACTAGTTGGCAAGTACCCGATTACTACCTCTTACAATAGGGATGATGACAGGGTATGAAAATTAAAAATCAAATTAGTCCGCAAGTAATTAAAAAATATTAGACACGTATTTTTTATTTTGTTGTACCTATATTAAAATGATACTTAGATGTAACGAATCCAAGTTTAGGAGTAGGGGCTAAAACGTCATTTCTGCGTATAAAATGTACATAGAAGTGACGTCACGCGACACTTAAATTTAATATCATCGAAACTATTCGTTTCCGTAAGAAAATAAAAATACGTGTCTAATGTTTTTAAAAAATCTACCAGACGGACATTAAAATAAAAATTAGTCATCTACCCTATTATACATCTTCTTATACTTTCATATCAACTGTATGTGTCGATGTTAGACTCAACAATAATACATTTGTACGCCTCTGGGCAAAACATAGAGGACGCTACTTATCTGTAACATGTCACACTTTGCTGTAAATTTTAACTATGTTTAACAAATAAAACAATTTGATTTGATTTGCCCATGATAAACTGAATTGGCATAGCTTAATGTGTAGCCAATGGCGGATCCAGGCGGGGGTCTTGAGCCCGGGGGGGCTGAATCCGCCCGCCCGCCAATGCTGAATCCGCCCTTGCCTAACCAGCTCAGCAGGGGGGGGGGGGGCTGTTGAGCTGGTTAGGCAAGGGCGGATTCAGCTTTGGCGCTAAGAGGTGTTCACATAATCGTGGCCAAGTCAAAAACTTGTAATTTAATTTTGATAACAATAGATACAAGTGAATAGTGGGGATTTTATTAATGTAGGTACGTAAGTACTGTAATTGAAAATATTTATTCTTTACTGTACACTTGAATACCTTAACACATTAATGCCTTGTACGGTTAAAGGTCAAAAGTCCACTGCCACAGTAAGACTACTATCGGTTGCGCTGCAGCGCTTATACACACATACACACGCATATTTTTATCCGTGTGCGTGCGCGTGCGTGTGTTTATGCGTACGCACGCGTGTTCATGCACATTAATATGAAATTACTTACGCATTGCCGTGTGAACATCACTCACGGTGGCAGTGGACTTTTGACCTTTGACTGTACATATATGCCTACCATCTTCTCTTGAAGACATCCAGAGAAACAATCACGCACGGAATCTCTATTTAAATTCCATTATCTACTTCCTCGCGGTTTCACCCGCTCTACTCGACGCCTATTAATCATAGCGTGATGTTTCATAGCCTATAGCCTTCCTCGATAAATGCGCTATCCAACACAAAAATATTTTTTCAAATTGGACCATTTGTTCCTGAGATCAGCGCGTTAAAACAAACAAACAAATTCTTCAACTTCTTTCCAGAGTAGAGTTATATGTACTTTCTAAGATTATTCAGACACCACTGACACACAGTGAAGGAAAACACCATGAGGAAACCTAGGCTTATAATTTCTAATTATAAGTTTCAAATTGGTAACTCGTATTGAGCAAGCATGGCGATTAATGCTCAAACCTTCTCCGTGTGAGAAGAAAGTCAGCAGGTGGTCACCAGCTGTTGATGCGATGTGACCTTCGCACATAGTTCTTCTTTTAATACATCTGTCTTTTAATACATCCAAATCGACCTACCTACTTCTAACAATCAAAATTTAACCCTATTTACAATATACAAAAGTACATTATATGTTATAAATGTTAGGATCATAATTCTTATGCGGTTTTAAAGGCTCGTAGGTCCATTCTTCGTCCGAAGACGCTTGGTTTTCGTTGTAGTAGATTTCTGAAACGAAGAACTGATTTTAGTACGTCCTATCATATATAAATATGCCATATATGTATGTTTGACATTTTTTTTTTTAAACCTTGCCCCACACTAGGATTTCCTCCTGTGTCCTGGGTGCGTTTACAAACATATAAGTTCACATACACACGACACCCAGACCCATAAATATAATAAAGAAGACGGCATTTTATAGTTTGTTGTACGATCGCGGATGACAACAGACTAACTCGCGGTGACGGCCATATTTTCCTACATTGAGCGAAACGCTCAATTGCGAGCGTCACTGACACGCCCCCTTGCCACTTCTCCTTTTTTAATATATCTGTACCCACACCCGAAACAACAATCTATGGATCACACAAAAAGTTGTGAAGCGGGAATCGAACCCGCGACACGTTGCGAGGCAGCCAGTTGCCCATCCACCTCGCCAATCGTGCAGTCACAATACAAAAAATCTCTATAAATATCTATATGCAAACATGCGTAGAGTCATGTATCTATGTACAGAAGCAGGCCCATCAAGCTACATGTCAAATATGTAAAACTTTCAACCTTATTACAACACAGCATAATTGAAAATTGATTAAAGATTCGTGTAGGTTAACGTGCTGGTTGTTTGTATAAGAGGAAAATTAATGAAACTATCTATTTATGTATTTACCTTCCTGTACTGGCTGTGGTTGTGGTATTTTCGGTTTCGATTTTACAACAGGTCCTGAAAACATGAGAAAATACTTTAAAATTGTATAATTGGGTACCTACATGCTTACTTTTTTCGAACTGTCAACATCGACAGTTTTCTACGAATTTTGTACGAGATTGTGTATTGTGACGTCACGTTTTTTTAGCGTCAAACAACACATACATATTTCATAAAAAATTGCTGGAAAACTACTAATATTAAGTTTGTCATAAACACAATTAATGAAAGTGTGATTAGGTATTTTTTAATATTTGATTGTATTGAACAGTCGAAATAATTTATTTTTGATTAAGGAAAGTACCCAATTACTATCATTTTGTATTATTCCTATAATACCATGTAGATCATGGTATGGACATAGTTTATGGCTTTATGGGCAGATATGGGGTACCTACTTAAAGGTGGTCCCTCACCGGGAGTAACATTATAGGATCGATTTTGAGCATTACATTAAAATAATGCCTCCCTGACTAACGAGCATTAGCGTGCAATGTAACATATAGATTCGACTTTGAGCATTTCATAGCAAGATATCAGACGAAGCGGGCGGGGGCGGGGGCATTGATGTTACAAGTTGTATCAAGATATTACACATTGTATCATTACAAGTTTGCTCGGTTCTCGTCGCGATTTCACGATGTATCGAAAGATACATCGACCCCTAAATACATCATGATATTTTTTTTAAGATTGAAATATATTTATGTCATATTTAGCGCATTCATAATTAAAGTACTTACTGGTCTTTGCTGCATTTGGATCAGGTATGGAGACGATAGGAACTTGTTTTACTGTTGAAAAAGAAAAAGATTTATAAGTTCTTTTCATTCGAATGGTGATCTTTAAAAACCTAGTAGGTAAAACATTACCTACAAGGTTTTTAAAGATCTCAGTAGTAGCACGGAGCCAGTAAATGTGCCCGGTGTATAGCAATAGGCTCACCGGGTATTACATGGGACTCAAAACATAAATAGTGAAAAGTGGGTGTTTCGTTGTACAGTGGCATTAAGTGCCGTAATGTGCACCTCGGCCTACCTCTCTGGGGATAAAAAGCGTGATATTATGATTTTATGTATATGCTGTAACAGATCAAACTCAAAAGCATTTATTTCAATTAACCATGATTTGATACTTTTGAAACCTCAACAAATATAAAATAACTATTCTGTCAGTCTATCGGTCAGTGAAGCTAGGTGCTCGTTCCAAAATGTAGATTCGAGTGGAGAAGAACGATAATAGGTAAATATGTTTTTTTTATAGCGAGTATCACAAAAAGACTAGAGGAATCCTTCAAGACATAATTCTTGGTAAAATTGATGGAAAGAGAAAGCCAGCCTGAACCCACAGAAGGAGACCTTAACTTAGGTACTTAGAACATAGACATCAGAAGAAGATGAAGAAATAAAACGAGATGCTTACCATTATTTCGTTTTCTCAATGCTTCTTCCAATTCATTGCTTCTTGTTGCAGTTTCTAGAATAAAAAGTAATAAATAAATAACTTAGAAATCTAATCTTCTGCCTCGTGATTGCTGATCAAGAGCATTCAGATGCAATCGAAATCGATTCGACCGAATATAATAAATTATCGCAATACCAAACTGCACGGTTGGCGCCATAGATATAATCCCTATCCTTACTTCCTTACTTATATTATAAATCGGAAAGTGAGTTTGTTTGTTTGTTTGTTTGTTCCACCTTCACGCCGTAACTACTAGACCGATTGCTTTGAAATTTTGCAGACGTAAAGTTAGAAGTCTGGATTAAATAATAAGGTACTTTTATCCCGGAAAAAATGATATTTCCTAGGAAAAACAAAAATATTGGTATAGATGGCGCTGTATGTACTGGTATAGATGGCATTGTATGTCATTTAAAACCAGTCAACGAGTAATTCGTTGACTACTTATTGGAAAAATGTAAATAGCGCGATATAACCGAATTCCACGCGAGCGGAAAGCTATTTGTTTGTTTGCCTGTCTTAAATGGCAGAACGGAGGTACTAATTAAAGTGATTTTTTAACTGAAGGTAATTGAACGGATGGATAGTCACATAGGCTACTTTTTATCCTTTTGTGACACGAGCGAAGCCGCGGGTAAAAGCTAGTAGACTTAATAAAGAAGGTTGGTGCTGTGGTTGGGCAACTGGCTGCCGCGTAACGTGTCGCGGGATCAATTTCCATGGAACAACTTTTTGTGTGATCCACAAATAATTGTCATGTGTATTTGAACTTGTATGTTTGTAAACGCACCCACAACACATGAGAAAATCCTAGTTTTTATTTTTTTATTTTTTAAGGGGGGAAAATCATCGAATGACTGCTCCCGCCTGGGCGAGGCGTGGGAGAGGATGAGTGTGGGGCAATGTTTAAAAAAAGAACTTTGCAATAAGATCCATTTTTGACAGCATCTAGACCAAAATCGATCATGTTGAGTTAAATATAATGTTAAACTTAAAACTGCAGCATACATACCAATTCCTGCCTGTCTCCTCTTCAAGACCTGCTGCAATTCATTGACTGGTGCTACTGCAGCTGAAAGAAGAGAGTTCTTTAGTATTTGTGTAATGAGAATCTTAGAAATATGTTCACCAGTTGTGTAATATGGCAAGCTTGCTGTTTATTTTTACTGTATGTTAGACAACCTACTAGACACAAATGTAACTTAAAACTGAACTGATCGCAATCAGCTATCGGTGACATAAATGCATGCTCAAACCCGCTTGAGGATTACGGCAAATAGAAATGTGTGGGAGGGCCATGCTTCGGCACGAATGGGCCGGCTCGACCGGAGTGATACCACGGCCGAGCAGAAAACCAATGTGAAACAACGTCTGCGTTGTGTTTCGTCGTGTGAGTGAGGTTATTTTTATTATTATCTTTATCAGTGCACTTCATGATATTTATATATCTGTAATTCCTGAAGGGTGTCTTCAAGGCCCGAGCGAATAGGTTGCTTATGGGACAACGTGCTCTATCGAAGACCGCATCATCGCTTACCACCAGGCGAGATAGTGGTCGAACGTCGGTCCATCAAATAAAAAAAAAATAAACTTCAGAGCACAAAAGTTGTTTTTAACTTACCGTGTGACATTTGTGGTTTCGGAGTGACAGGAGGTCTGGCACTTCTTTTAGTTTTCAGTGTGTCCTGATTCACGTTGACTAGGTTTGCTGTAGGCACCTTCTTTGGAGGCATCGGTAGTCTGGCTGTGAAAAAATATGATAATTCAAATTAACTAAATCGCGGGTTATACGCGTGAAAATTCTGAGAAAAGCTCTACTAGTTTCGAGCCACAGCGGAACTCTTCCTCATGTGCAGCGCGCGCGGTCGCGGCGATGTCGTACGCCATAGATATAATATTATAAATCTGAAAGTGAGTTTGTTTGTTCCACCTTCACGCCGTAACTACTCAACCGATTGCTTTGAATTTTTGCAGACGTAAAGTTAGAAGTTCGGATTAAATAATAGGTTAATTTTTAACCCGGAAAAAATTGCTATTTCCTAAGAAAAACAAAAGTATTGGTATAGATGGCGCTGTGTGTATTAGTATATGTCACATAGGCTACTTTTATTCTTTTATGACGCGAGCGAAGCCGCGGGTAAAAGCTAGTAAATTAATATTTCTGTGGCTTACGCGATGTTTAGTTAATTTAGTTTGTCTCACGATAGTTATTATAAAAACATATTTCAAATTATTCATTTCGGAATTTGGATTTTTCAATTCCAAATTATTCATTCGGACTGCCTCGTTGGCCTAGTGGTCGCAAGTGCGACTGCCAAGCAAGGGGAGACCCCTCTAATCTAAGGGTGACGATCGATGCAATAAAAGGGGTGCAAACTTTTACAGATTTTAGTTGGTTCGATTACCGTGGGCCGCGAGCAAATTTTAAAAATCATTGAGTGCAGTTTTCTTTCTTTTCAAAAATAAAGGAAAAGTTTTGGTTTGAGTAAAATTTTCTACGTAAAGTATTAAGAGTACTTCCTCTTCAGATGGCATTACAAAATTCCACCCAGTATATACCATATAGTTCTGTCTCTACAAATTTTCTGTAAAATGACAAAGATGGCACGATATTTAAGTACAAGTTAAATAATTATAGCCTTTCAGTATTCAGGCTTAAGAATGCAATTCGGTTTACTACCATCATCTTCCAAAAGTCATTATTTTGTAACTTACGTGGCATTGCCTGACTGACCGCCGGCGGAGGTTCGTATGTGTCCATATCATCAGTCATTTCTGTAAAACAAAATATATCATTAAATACTTATTTATCATCATCATCATCACCATCAGCATCACCATCAGCATTTGCTACTCAAACGGGTTGCTACCCATGACAGCTGCACAGCTGGATGTGCCTCCTTTATATAAAAGAGATTTTCACTCCTTTGATTGTTATCAGTTAAGATTATTTTTATGTTATTATTGTTTTATACGATAAACCGGTAAACGAGCTGGCGGATCACCTGATGGTAAGCAATCAGCGTTGTCTATGGACACGCGGAACAGAAGCGATACAAGTGCTTTAAGAATTTGAGGATTATCGGGCTTCAGGGATTGGGGAGATTGGGGAAAGAAGGGGGGGAGGGGTAATTGGGCCTCCGGTAACCTCACTCACACGACGCAACATATCACAAGCGTTGTTCCACGTCAGTTTTTGTGGGGCCGTAGTATCACGAGCGACTAAGTCAAGCCGGCCCATTCGTACCGAAGCATGGCTCTCCCATACTTAGCCTGAATTAAATAAAAGAGATGTAGCTTTTCGGATATGAGTGAGTAGGAAATAACATAGTTTGAAATGCCCGTCCGAGGCAGTAGTTTGGATTTTGGATCTATAAAACATGAACTTAAAATTTCCATGTTCCCAGGGCGATATCATTTTGTCCTCAAAAGGTATACAGTTAAAAAATTACTACATATTAAGTGTCCCCTCCTCCCTGTCCCAATCTCCCCAATCCATGAATCCTCAAATTCCTCATTCCTAAGGCTGGTAACGCACTTGAAACGCTTCTGGTGTTCCAGGTGTCCATGGGCGATGCGTCTGCTCGTTTACTGGCTTACTTATACCATAAAAAATTGGGATATTTTGTTCACAAATTCACAGTAATCAATTATATTTTGTACTCACGTTCATAAACTTCGAAGTCATCTTGAGATGGTGGTAAAGGCAGCGGAGGTCTGTTCGCCATATCACGTTCTGGAAGAATTTAAACGAAAAATAATGAAAATTTGTAATTACCTAGGAAACCTGGACTTATAATTTCTAATTATAAGTTTGAAATTGCTAACCTGCATTGAGCAAGCGTGGTGATTAATGCTCAAACCTTTTCCGTGTGAGAAGAGGCTTTTGCTTGCAGTGGGTACTTATAGGCTGTTGATGTGACATTCCCCAGTCTCCCCAATCCCCGAAACCCCCACAATCCTCAAATTCCTAATTCCCAAAAGGCCGGTAACGCACTTGTAACGCCTCTGGTTTTTCGGGTGTCCATGGGCGACGCCGATTGACTTTCAGGGGTTGTTGTTGATAATAATGATGAAAACCAACCTGTTTGTCTTTGGTAGGAACGTGTATGGTCCATCATTGCGCTTCTGTTTAGGGTCGCTCCATGCATCTGCGGATGCATGCTCATATTGCGATCCATTTTTGGAGTACCTGAAAAGAAAAAATATTATTAAAGAAGGGCCAAATTAAAAGTACCCTTAACCGACGAGCATGTATGAAAAGACTGATGACTGTTGATGAAGCGAAAGAGGTGTGTAGGAATCGTAGTAATTAGCGTTCCATAGTCTCTGCCTGTGCCTCATGGAAGACAGGCATGAAGTTATGTATGTATGTATGAATTAATAAAAAAAAATAACTCACAAGGCATCGTTGATATAGCTGGCGGGTTTGGAGGCAGAAAATGTTTTGGACCTGGAAAAAAGAAAAAAAGAATTTAGAAATATAGTTAAACAGTTTGTACAAGAAAGAAAGAAACACCATTTATTTTGCTACGACACACAACAAGAATTTAGGAACACACAAAAAGCCTTTTTTTTTTTAAGGGGGGAAAATCATCGAATGACTGCTCCCGCCTGGGTGAGGCGGAAGGGAGTGTCAGACTCTTACTGACTAAAAACCACCCCGTTCCTTCTCCTGCACGTCGAGCCGGAGCCCCGGTTACCCGTTAGGTTCTCCGAGCCTATGGTGCGTCGCAGCGCAAAAGGCTGAAGCGTCATCTCTGAAACTACTGGTCCGAATTGAATAATTGGATAGACCATTCATTAACAAAGGTTATGGGGTACGTTTAATAAATACCAAGCAGTGGGTTTTACCGTGCAAGAGCAGCTAGTGTAATAATATTTTTTTTTTAAACATAACATCCCGCCTTTTATCCTCGAAGGGGTAGGCAGAGGTGCACATTATACCACTGTACAATGTAACACCCACTTTTCACTATTTATGTTATGAGTCCCATGTAATAGGGGGTGAGCCTATTGCCATATACCGGGCACAGTTCCAGACTCCGTGCTACAACTGAGTTTTTTTTTTTAAAAACCCAGTAATACTTTGCCCGACCCGGGAATCGAACCCAAGACCTCTTACCCGGCAGTCACGATTGCGACCACTCGGCCAACGAGGCAGTCATGGCATTTTTTTTAATAATAATGCTTTTTTATGATATAAGCATTGTAAACGAGCAGACGGATCACCAGAAGCAATCGGCATCGCCAATAAACACCTGGAACGCCTGGCCGTTTCGGGATTAGGAGTTTGGGGATTCAGGGACTGGAGTGGGGGGGGGGGGGATTGGGCTTTGAGGAATACGGGAGTGTAGAAATCTTACCATTATCGTTTATTTCAATATTTGGTGCTTCATATATGTCGCTGTATCTCTTATCGACTGGAACCACTTCGTCGATCTTCTTCTGCCGAGGGTAGCTACAGTATCGAGCTGAAAGTAGAAAGACCTTTGTCAAAAATCTTCTTTCTGGCAGAACAGTGTAGTCACACTGTCGTAACATAAGACTGCATGGTTGGCGCGGTGGTTTCGATTCCCGGGTAGGGCAAAGGGTATTACTGAGTTTTTAAAATTCGGAAAAAGCAAAAGCAGGGTGTCTGTAATTGTATGTGTACACCTATGGCAATTGACTCACCCCCTATTACATGGGACTCGTAACATAAATAGTGAAAAGTGGGTGTTACATTGTACAGTGGCATTAAGAGCCGTAATGCCTACCCTTTCGGGAATAAAACGAGTGATGTTTCCTCACGATATCCATCACCGTTTGTCAGTGGTGTCTAAACAATCTTAGAAAGTATATATAACTCGGAAAAAGTCACATTGGTACTTAACGATGGTACGTTTCGAAGCCGCACCCTCATGCATGAGAAGCGGGCGTCTTAAACGTCTGGGCCACCATGACATACGTTGGATGGCAACGCTTAACCTTTGACCAAACCAAGATAGTAGCCAGCCTTTCGTTTCCACCTGAAGTGTCAACCATCTTTTTTACAATATACCAACTTTGGTATTTCAAAAATGCCTGTACTAATGTGGATTAATTGAATTCTTGTTCTTTCGACAAGAAAAAACCGCTGCCTTTAGCCAAACTCCACTTTGGCGCTTGTCTACCGAGAGAGTACAAAACTAAATGTATGGAGTTTCTTGCTCGTTCTTCTCCACTCGAATCGACATTTTGGAACGAGCGCCTAGCTTCATTGACGGACAGACTGACAGACTATTATTTATTTCATATTTGTTGACGTTTCAAAAGTACCAAATTAAGGTTTAATTGAAATAAATGCTTTTGAGTTTGAGTTTGACTTTGAGTTTATGGGAATGACACTGACAAGTGTCAAAATTTACGTCAATCCCATGTAATTTGGTTTTCTATTCTACATGTAGACAAGCGCTAAATGGCATTTGGCTACAGCTGCACGTGTTCTGTAGATAACTGAAACACTTACCTCCGTCACTTTGAGCGGAATCCGATTTTTTCGACAAGTTGTTATGAGCATTCAACCTTCGAGCTGTAAAAATACATTGTACATAGATTATATGTTCAACTGTAAGACTGTGTGTGTAACATGCAATCGCATTCGTACCTAGTATCGAGCGGGTTCGGCGTTCTGATTGGCCGGCTCTAATAAACCAACCAATCAAAAGAAAGAAGAAAGAAAAACCGTTTATTCTTGCGCAGAACACAGATAACATAGGTAATTAAAAAATAAAATATAATGAAGCAAGGGTAAACCAAGGTAGATATAATAGAAATATTAGAGATATCCTTACTAATATTATAAATCGGAAAGTGAGTTTGTTTGTTTGTTTGTTCCGTTTTCACGCCGTAACTACTAAACCGCTTGCTTTGAATTTTTGCAGACGTAAAGTTAGAAGTCTGGATTAAATAATAGGGTACTTTTTATCCCGGAAAATTTGATATTCCCGAGGGAAAACAAAAGTATTGGTATAGATGGAGCTGTATGTATTGGTATTTGTCACATAGGCAACTTTTTATCCTTTTGTGACGCGAGCGAAGCCGCGGGTAAAAGCTAGTATAATATAAAGCAAGGGTAAACCAAGGTAGGTATAATAGAAATATTAGAGATATAGGTAATATAATATTAAAAATACCAAGATCAGAATGCATGCCACCTTAACCACGGCTAGTGAGAGTTTCCGATTCCTAAACTACTCCACCATAATTACAAGGCGTATAATTACTATATTAGTCTTGATACAGCTGAAGTTGGTTTAAAAAATTAAAATAATATATAGCTGATTCCTTTTTTAAAAGACCAGCAACGCACTTGTGACTTCTATAGTGTTGCGCATGTCCTGTCCATGGGCGCTAATCGCTTACCATCAAGTGATCCGTCTGCTCCTATGCCTGTTCTATAAAAAAGTATGAGTGAATTAAGTCTTACCTAAGGATTTTAAGTAGTAGATGTAAACAGCTTGTCCTATAATGATGAGTAATGCCAACGATCCCAACACTGAACAAATGATTATGAACTTCGTATCTGAAATTAAACCACACAATATAAGTATAATAATGACAGATTATGGCGAATCTTTTTGACTGCTAGTGTTTATGGGTGACTTACTATCAGGCGAAAGCGATATATCAGCTTGTTTTCTAAATTTTGTATTGCACACCTGTGCAATACAAAAAAGACAGATACCTTCTGTCTTTTGACTCAACTTTTGGTCTTTTGACCCAACTATCGGTCTTTTGACTTAACTATCGGTCTTTTGACCCAACTATCTTTCTTTTGACTTAACTATCGGTCTTTTGACTTAACTATCGGTGTTTTGATCCAACTATCGGTGTTTTGATCCAACTATCGGTCTTTTGACTTAACTATCGGTCTTTTGACTCAACTTTCGGTCTTTTGACCCAACTATCGGTCTTTTGACCCAAGTATTGGTCTTTTGACCCAACTATCGGTCTTTTCATCGATAGTTCAGCAGAGGACAGTCAGGATGTATTAAAATATATTGTTCGTCATAGTAAGGGGAAAGTTTCTTAAAGATAATCGATAAATAAATCATATTTACCCAATATCGTGTCCTTGTTCCATTCTGTAAAAAAAGAAAATAATTTTTATTAATTAAGTATTATATCATGTCAAATGTTCCTAGAAAGGTAAGTTCAAGTACAGTTTGGTCATTAATTTATTTCTTTTATGTGGTTTGTTTACTGTTTCATTTGATTTTTTTATATATATATATATAAATTTTGCAGGGATGCATAGTTTTCTGCCAGCTGAACTATATGTCATTGGGGGAGGCCTAGTGACCCGATTGACCGTATTATGGTTGATATTCCAAATCAAATTTATTAACCCAATTTGCTTTTCAAACAAAAACATATTTTTTGAAATTAAATCTACCATTAAAAAAAACAACACGCATTTTTATTGAACACCTATTCAATATACAAAGTATTTTATTTTTTCATAGTGTGGCGACGTTTGCCACATGTCAACGGATGACGTCACAAGAATCCTACATCGCACATGCAAAGTTTACAAGCGAATAAACACGGATAGAAAATCCCAACGAACAACTGTTGGGCAGAAAGCCCGCCAGGCACGATCACCTCGCCTGGTCGGAGGATCCTCCTTTTCCGATCTTAGGGAACTATACTCTCTGTTCCCTACAATAGAAAAACAAGGATATTTACAATCACAAAACGAAACAGAAACAGAAAGTAGGCATATGTAATTAAAATGCTGGAGACGGGCAGCCCTAACGCATATTTACGTACCGCGCGGCTGGAGATACCTATTTAACTCTGTTAAGCGGCCAAGGTACACTACTATACAGTATCATATCATATCATACGATAAATTCATAATATTACCATGACACGACTGCCTCGTTAGCCGAGTGGTCGTAAGTCTCGGGTTCGATTCCCGGGTCGGGCAAAGTATTACTGGGTTTTTGAATATTCTCAGTAGTAGCACGGAGTCTGGAATTGTGCCCGGTATATGGCAATAGGCTCACCCCCTATTACATGGGACTCAATAAATAGTGAAAAATGGGTGTTACATTGTACAGTGGCATGATGTGCGCCTCTGCCTGCCCCTTCGGGGATGGAAGGCGTGATGTTATGTTATGTTCCGTGACACGGTGGCGGGTTTGGCTACGCCACCATGGTATCCCGTTGAAATATTGCTCTAAAAGCATGTTAAGCCTGCTACTCACCGATCGCAACGTTGGTACGGCATATGATTGGTGTATATAATTCTTGTTGTCCTAAATGATTCATCGTCTTTTTGTCAATGTTGGGTAGAATTTGAGGATTACCTTTATACACATAAAACTCAAATTCCCATGTACCGTCCATGTATCGGTTCACCACAGTTGTCTGGAAAACAATATAATATTAAGGTTAATTAAAAATATCGGTTAACGGTAAAATATTGAGTAATGTTCAACTAGTTTCGAGTCATAGTGGGACTCTTCCTCATAAGCATTGAAACTGTGAACATCCCGTCTTCGTTGACAACATACTACACATAACAAACACATCTTAGTGTACGGGCAAACAGCTCGAACACTATCTTTATATATATGTATAATTCTGCTGTACGTGTGTTTGTCATTGACTTGCTCCTAAACGGCTTGCGCGCGCCTCAAAGAGCCATCAGACCACCACAGATGGGGCCCAGTAGGGCCGATGCCGATTCGGAGTCGCGGAGAACCTAACGGGTAACCGGGGCTCCGGCTCGACGTGCAGGAGAAGGAACGGGGTGGTTTTTAGTCAGTAAGAGCCTGACACTCCCTCCCGCCTCACCCAGGCGGGAGCAGTCATTCGATGATTTTCCCCACGGCTTGACCGATTTAAATGAATTTTTCTGTATGCGTTTAGATTCAAAAAATGGCGCTGCAGCCGGAGTCTAGGTATCTATACGGTATCTATACTGCAACTAAACGACTAGACTGATTTGAATGTTTTTTTTTGTTTGTCAACGTCTGTCGGGTCTGCTAGTAGATATTATACAACATACAACAACTTAACCTACTAGAGGTTAAGTATGTTGTATAATGTGTGTAGGATTTTTAAATTTAAATAAGTAATTGTTTTTGTTTATTTTTTCTTTGTGTTGTAAAATTTCTTTTTTATTTGTATTTTCGATTGTTGAGTTTAGTTTAGCCAAGAATTTGTTCATTTTTGTTTTTTTTTTTACTTTATGATTTTGTTATAATTGGACGTTACATAGATTTAGTTTAAGACCTAGCTATCGCAATGGAGAAACCTGTCATGATAGTTTGGGTAAGGTTTTATATAAATAAATAAATATATAAAAATGAATCCCTTTTCCCTTGGTCACGGCATCACGCGTGAATGACTGGACCCATTTCACTAATTCTTTTTTTGTTGTGTTTTTAATTATTCGAAGAAGGTTCTTAAGACAGAAACTATCTTAAGATCCTACGGAAACGGGAGAAAACGGGATTGCGGGTACGAAATAGAGGGCAGAAGCTATTAAATAAAATAAAATTAGAACCCCAATGAATACTCACATGTTGTTTAGTCATGTTGGTTTTTAAGGAGCTGTCGATTGTAAACGTTTCATTATTAGAGTTCCTTAAACGCCACCTATGAAAAGAAGAATATTATAAATATAAACAAATTAAACTGTCAAACACCAAGCGGTCACCGGTGACCGCAACCTATTGTTCTTTAATTGTGTCTATAAATACGGTACTCGACGAGTTAAGCTGCGTGGTGACACCCCTAGCTGCAGACAGCCGAGCGGGTTGCCCTGGCTCCGGCTCCGGGAGTAGCAACGGGGTGGTTTTTAGTCAGTAAGAGTCCCCTTCTCACGTCACCCAAGGCAGCGGAACATAACATCACGCCTTTTATCCCCAAAGGGGTAGGCAGAGGTGCACATTACAGCACTTAATGCCGCTGTACAAAGTAACACCCATTTTTCACTATTCATGTTATGAGTACCATGTAATAGGGGGTGAGCCTATTGCTAAATACCGGGCACAATTCCAGACTCCGTGCTGCTACTGAGAGTTTAAAAAAAAACCAGTATTGCTTTGCCCGGCCCGGGAATCTCGAGACCCCTTGCTCGGCAGTCGCACTTGCGAACACTCGGCCAACGAGGCAGTCAGTAGAAGTCATTGAATAATTTCCCCCTTAATCAATAAAAACCATGGCTAACAATGAGCGGACGGATCACCTGATTGGTCGATCGTCGGCGCTGCCTATGGACGGGTGTCCATAGACCGTGGTGAGGTGCAAGACCGGAAAAGGAACAAGTATGTAACCGGCCTTTTAAGGGTTGAAGATTTGTGGATTTTTTGATAGGGTAATATTAATATCCTAAACTTTATTTTAATATCTGTCTGACAGATTATTTTAAAACATTACCCACGTATTTTTCTTTTCTTACAAAATTAAATACTTTCGACGATATGTTGATTTGAAATATCGTGTGACGTCACGATTTACTACATTTTATAGGGTGCCGTGACGTAATGACCTCCCACTCCTAAACTCCGTTTTATCTAAGTACTAGCTTTTACCCGCGGCTTCGCTCGTGTCACAAAAGGATAAAAAACCAATGTCACATATACCAATACACACAGCGCCATCTATACCAATACTTTTGTTTTCCCTCGGGAATATCAAATTTTTCAGGGATAAAAAGTACTCTATTATTTACTCACTTTACGTCTGCAAAAATTCAAAGCAATCGGTTTAGTAGTTACGGTGTTAAAGTAGAACAAACAAACAAACAAACAAACTCACTTTCCGATTTATAATATAAGTAAGGAAGTAAGGATTGTTGTCTTATACGACAAAATAAAAATACGTGTCTAATATTTTTTCATTATCTAACTGACGGACTAATTACATTTTTAATTTTCATACACTGACTACTACCCTATTGCAGAGGATTTAATATGGGTCACCATTAACCCCACTCACGAACCGGAACACCACGCTATGGTTGTTTTACGTCGGTTTCTTGTGAGGTCGTAGTTTATACTATGTAGTATAGGCCTCCGGTCGTGAAAATAGAGAACCGACGTGAAGCAGCGCTTGCGTTGTGTTTCGCCGTGTGAGTGAGGTTACCTGAGGCCCAATTACCCCTTTCCCCCATCTCCCCAATCCCTGAATCCCCAACGATCCTCAAACTCCTATTCCCCAGAAGGCAGGTGACGCACTTGTTGTTCCAGGTGTGAGGGCGACGCCGATTGCTTACCATCAGGTGATCCGCCTATTCGATTATTGGCTTTTTTTATGGAATAGGAGGCAAACGAGCTTACGGATCACTGATGGTAAGCGATCAGCGCCGCCCATGGACACCCGCAACACCAGAGGAGTCACAGGTGCGTTGCCGGCCTTTTAAAGAGGAGTACGCTCTTTTCTTGAAGGTTTGAAGGTCGTATCGGTTCGGTTGGCTTATGCCATAAAAAATGATTCTCCCACACTTTCATTGATGATAAAATGAGGATGAAGAAGACGAACTTACCATCCATAGTTGATGAAAGGATCCGTTGGTAGCTCTATAGTCAAATTTTGACCTTCTTTGAACTTGTAATTAGGCTTTGGTATCGAACAATTACCAGAATCCTTAGGTATACTTATTTTTAAATTTCCTTCACCTGTAAAGAAAGAACAGAATGTAAGATAATAAGGTATTAAATGACAATGCCACATCCTGACCCAGTCATACTATCATTTACAAAAAAAGTAAATTGATGAAAATAATTTTGACGAATAAGGAACCTTTTCACAATAAATCTTTTTATTTTTAAACTTGCGGTTTACAATTTAATAAAAAAAGAAGTTCAATCCCGGAAATACTTTTTTGCAATGCGTATTCCATATTGTCTAATGACTATTTGCGTTACATCATACGCATCGCTTGTACGAAACTATGAAAATAAAAAAGTAAGTAACTGTAAAAAAGATATCGTTATACATAAAATATTATATCAAAAGTATAATTATGTATAACATTTATTTATTTATTAATAATTACAGATGAAATCACGAAAATATAAAAGAAACGATTACTATCATTAGATATGATTTTCTTGTGTAACGAAACGTTTTGAAGCGCTCGTCAGCTGTCAGCTGTCAGTGTCAATATTATCTTTCTTTCGCTCTCTGCGTTTCCGTTGTTTTCGCGTTATTTATCATTATTGTTTTGTGTTTTAAACAAAAACCGCAAGTTTTACAGGTTTCAAAACAAATGTTTAGGTATCTTTAATTAATACACAACACGATGCTAAATACTGCATGCTTGTACATAACTTCTAATTAGTGGGTCAAAAATGTACTGAGCACCCGGCATTGTCCTTTTAAAACAACATACATAATATAACATGTCATGTAGAAAGTAATAACCAGTTTTGGTTGGATTTTGTTTTAAAGAACATTGTCCCAATCCAGGATTATGCCATGTGTCGTGAGTGTGTCTGAATTAGGAAGGCACTTTTGAACGTCAAAAAAATAATTGAAAGTGAAGTTATTTGCTCATTCCAAGGTGTACATTCCTATGGAGAAGAAGGAGCAAAAAACTCCATAGGCTCTACTCATCTCGTTCACGAACATGACACGTACACCAGCACCGCCCAACTTAACCATATTGTAGGGAATCGAGCGATCTACTGCACGCGCCACCGCCAATGAGATCTTTGAGTGAGCATGACCAACATAAGTATAAGTTTACAAACATACAAGTTTACATACACATGACACCCAGACTCGGAACAACAATTTGTGGATCAAACAAAGAGTTTTTATTATCTAAAGAGGTAGGCACACGGCACTAAAATATCGAGTTTAATAATTAACTGCCTTGACTGCCTCGTTGGCCGAGTGGTCGCAAGTGTGACTGCCGGGCAAGAGGTCTCGGGTTCGATTCATGGGTTCGATTCCATGTTATGTTTAATAATAGTTAAGAATTGCCTAAAGGTAAGCAGTCACCACCGCCCATGGAGAAAGGCGAGTTATATGTATTATAAGTGTAATGGAACATTGACACTACTTTGTCACAATTTAATCATATTCATGACTCAGTTATTAGTTTATTTTGAGGTTAAAATAAGCGGTAAATCCATACTAAATACTGTAAAACTGATATTCAATAAATTATTACATTTTCCTACATTCGATTGTATTTCATAAGCCCTATTAATGTTATAAATTTGAAAGCCGTATGATGTTAGCTGAGTACAATTCATTTGTTGGCCTTACTCTTCTAAGTCGACGTCAAAGTCCATATCTTTTATTTTATTTAGACCGGGGGGTTTTTTTTAAGGGGGGAAAGTCATCGAATGTCTGCTCCCGCCTGGGTGAGGCGAAAGGGAGTTTCAGACTCTTACTGACTAAAAAACACCCCGTACCTTCTCCTGCAAGTCGAGCCGGAGCCCCGGTTACCCGTTAGGTTCTCCGCGACTCCGAATCGGCTTCGGCCTTATTGGGCCCCATCTGTGGTGGTCTGATGGCTCTTTGAGGCGCGCGCGGAACGCGACGCGCCGTACGCTCGGGTCTGTTTCTGGTCGGACGGGGAGCCACCCATGCTCGCTGTCCGCAGGCCCGCGCTTACGGTGGCCGGAGATTGTTGCGCGATCCCCGACGCCCGGTGTGTCCTTTGCGATGGCTGGGTTGCGAGGAGGCAGCGCTTCGCTGCCTCACGCGTCCCGCCTCCTCCTTAGCTAGCATGACTGCTTCGCAAAAGGAGGAGACGGCATCCCAATTTAGACCGGGTAGGTACTTTTCAACGTTAAAACAAAAAAAGATCAATCTGTTGGTTAGTCCTCTAGTGAAGCTATTTGCTTGTTCCAAAGAATAGATTCCTATGGAGAAGAACAAGCAAGAAAGTCTATAGGTTACTCTTTTTCAATACTCTTATTGATTTTAGTCAGTAAGGGTCTGACATTCTCTCGCCTCACTCAGGGCAAATACATCTAGTTAGGGCACGTTCACACGCCACGCGCACGCTCAGCGCAAGCCACCCGCATTCAACTCGCATTGAAATTTGTTATATAAGAATTTAAGTCTTATAATTCATCAATAGAGTCTAGTCCCATGAAACAGGCGGCAACATCAAAAATCTTTCAGTTGTCAACCCTGATATAGCACGCTGAAAACTTATTGATTGTTTTTTTTTTAATTTATTTCAATTATGTTTTTGACAACGTCTTATAAATTGGTTTGCCGGGTGACACTTCAAGAAACTGCGTTACGCTCCGCTCACGTTATGCGCTCACAATGAGAGCGAGTGAGAGGCACGCGTCCCTTCCACTCGGGCATGGTTAGCCCGCCTAAGAGCGAGAGAGACAGACATCGTTGTCACGTAAAACTTTCGCCCGTATACCGACTTTACAGGCAACCAATTTTTTTTTTATCAAAAATTCAAGTATCAATAAGATTCCAGCATGCTATATCAGGGTTGCCACCTGAAACATTTTTAATATGCCGCCTTTTTCATGAGACTAGACTTGCTTGACAGACTATAGATGTCAAATTGTATTTAATAAAGTCTACGCGCACGCCCCGCACCCATCTCGCGTCAACCCTGCGCTTTCCCTCCCTGCGAGGTGCACCCTCGCCGCGTACGCCTTGCGCTCGCACTATAGCTAGTCTTTTATTGATTGTCTTTTTCTTTCTCCATTGCTTACATACATCAACAGCCTATAAGTGTCCACTGCTAACCAAAGGCCTCTTCTCACACGAAAAACGTTTGAGCACTAACCACCACGCTTGCTCATTGCGGGTTGGCGATTTCAAACTTATACTTAAAAATTGTCGTGGTGGCCCGGAGGTTTAAGACCACTTCTCATGCATGAGGGTGCGGGTTCGAACCTGGGCTTATAATTTCTAATTATAAGTTTGAAATCGCCAACCCGCATTGAGCAAGCGTGGTGATTAATGCTCTAACCTTCTCCGTGTGAGAAGAGGCTTTGCTCAGCAGTGGGCATTTATAGGCTGTTGATGATGATGATGATGATTTAAAAATTATAAGCCCAACTTTCCTCACGAAGTTTTCCTTCACCGTTTATCAGTGTTGTCTAAATAATCTTAGAAAGTACATATAACTCAGAAAAGTTACATTGGTACGTGCCGTTGGTAGGTTTTGAAACCGCACCCTCATGCATGAGAAGCGGGCGTCTTAACCTACGGGCCATCACGATATCTCCCATTGCTTAGGTATACATAATTATAGAATGTAATTAGAACTTAGTCAAATCCATTTTGGCTTAAACGTTCATACTAAACGAGCTGACGGATCACCTGATGGTAAACAATCGGCGTCGCCAATAAAAAATTGAAACACCAGAGGCGTTACAAAGTGTGTTACCGGCCTTTTGGGGATTAGGAGTTTGAGGATCGTTGGGAATACAGGGATTGGGCAGATTTTGGAAGGGGAGGAAGGTAATTCGGCCTCCGGTAACCTCACTCACATGACGAAACACAACGCAAGTGCTGCTTCACGTCGGTTTTCTGTGAGGCCGTGGAGTCACTTTGATCGAGCCGGCCCATTCGTGCCGAAGCATGGGTCTCCCACAATAGAAAAAGTGGAAGAGTTTACACTTTTTCTATTTTCTATCCCACACTAGATACTAGTGTAGAAGTGGGCGCGGGCTTATGGCGGTGCGTGATTGCCGCATGTCATCTGAATACGCCCTTACTTTGTTTAAACATGAATCATTTTTAATTCTATGTTAAAACCTCATTTAAACTGTACGTCTCAAAACCACAAATGATTAACAAATTACATTAATTTTATTGATTTATAATTTACTTCATTCTAGCGCTTACTAATAATATATATAAATGCAATAGAATACACAAAGTCAACATAATATAAAGTATTATTGGGTTTTTAAAAAAATCTCCAAAGTAGCAAGGAGTATGGAAATGTTCCCAGTTTATGGCAATAGGCTCACCCCTGTTACATGGGACTCATAAAATAAATAGTGAAAATTGGGTGTTACATTGTATAGTGGCATCGAATAAATTAGTCACTAGTAACATTATGTCACTAGTTGACGCTGGTACGTCCCCGTCAGAGGGTGGTACGTCCCCGCTGGTACGTCTAAGTTGCAGCTATAGCAAATACTAAACTGTCATGAACCTTTTATATCATCATGAACTGTGACGTCAGTAATAGGAAAACAAATACCTACTGTTTAAATTTCAATTTGTACCTAAACCGGTAACAAAGTCTGCTTATTTAATATGACAACTAGCTCATGACGATACCTAAGTACGTGTGACGCCAGGACAGTCAACCTCGCTACATCCTTGTTGACTTTTTTTTAAGGGGGGAAAATCATCAAATTACTTCTCCCTCCTGGGTGAGGCGGGAGGGAGTGTCAGACTCTTACCTACTGACTAAAAACCACCCCGTTCCTTCTCCTGCACGTCGAGCCGGAGCCCCGGTTACCCGTTAGGTTCTCCGCGACTAGACCGCAGTGTATAAAAGAGCATTGTGGCCCTGTGTCTGATGAATGTAAACTGTATCTACCCAATTATGTAACACCTATTGTACCCTTGAATGATGCAATAAAGATTTGAATTTGAATTTGAATGCCCTTAAACTGTCAAACACCGCGAGGAAACCGGTGACCGCAACCTATTGTTCTTTAATTGTGTCTATAATGACGGTACTCAACGAGTTAATCCGCGGGAAGAGTAGGGCGATA